TCATTTGTTCAACTGTTATATTCCTTTTCATGCATGAATAACATTAGCAATGTGGTGTCATGTCTGCAGATTTGGCTCGGAAAATAAGGTGATTTGCTATGCAAAGATAGCTCTACAGCTGCAAAATAAAACAGTTAGGGATGTGGCATTGCGTTGCCGATGGATGTCGGTAAGCTTTCATGTCCTTTGCTTCTGCAGCCGTTCTTTTCCATAGGGTAATGCTCCTCCTATTAGTAGTTATCTTGAGGCCAACAACAAAACTTAGTTATTTCTTCTATCCTTTCTTTCACGCATAGCTGCAATATTGCATAAAACTGGCATAGTGAAGGCCATAATATGCTTTTGTGATTTAAATAAAAATGAAAAACCTGTCCTTAGGTCAATTCTTCCTATTTGTCCATGCTTTTTTCTTTGCCTAAATGTGAAAAGGATGACATAATGTCTTACCCTTTTCTTTAGAAAAGCCTTGAGAATCTGACTCGGGTGGACCATTGCTTCTCTGGTTTTATTGTCATCTCTGTTGGCATATCTACTTGCAGTACAGAATTAAACTTTTTGATTTTACCAGACAATTCGATCAGATATGAACCATGTTTCAGTTAAAGGTTTTCTCTCCCAATAATTTGTCTTCTTTAGGTTCCAAGGTATATTTGCAGATCAAATTTGCAAGGTAATTAGTTCACTGGAACATAAAAATTATTTAAAGAATTTCATTACGGGGTCGGATTTTTCAATGGTCTTCTCAGCGGAAAGGTAAAGCAGGTTAAATTTGATGTGCTTATTTAAGTTGTGCTTCTTTCTGTTACAAATTAAAGTATGAAGAGTTGGAAACTAGACTTAAGTACATCCGTTTTTGTACAGAGACCTACTTTTATCGTGATATGATGTTTCGGGTTGTGAGGTGACAGTTTATTTTGTCTTGCTGGTGAATGTGTTGTGACTCTCAGATAAATTGTTAAGTTATATTACGCTATGTCTCAGACAAAATCCATGGCTGATTTTGGCCTTTAGTGTATGGTTGAGCACATTTTATTTGTCTCTATTGTTCTGATTTCAAGAGAGCATGCAGTAAACTGGATTATTGAAATAATAAGTTGGATAGTACAAGGGTTTTGAGATTTGCTGATAGCGGCTTGGACAGCACTTTTGCTCTTACTATGTTTTATCTTTTGTCATGTGTCCTATACTCTCTTTGTTTTTTTTTTTTCTGTCTAGAAAAAGGAGAGCAGCAAGAGACGGAAAGAGGAGCATAACCTAAATAGGAAAAGCAAGGATAAAAAGGTTTGTTTCATTGCATTATCTCATTTCCAGTTTGATGTTTTAGTTTTGATAATATGTAAGACCTTTTCCTAAGGTACGATTTTGCAAGGTGGTGTAGTTTTGTATTTTCCATCCCCCCTGGTCTCTGTATTTTCCACTAGAAATTATACCAAGTCGCTCTGTGGCTGGCTGGAGGGTTGCCCATAAATGGTAAGGGCCCAAATCAGAAGCCTGAGCCCGACCTTCGTTGATTGGCTTGTGCTTTTGACTTTGAAAATGTTGGGAAAGTGTAAAGCTGTCCTTTGAAACATGACAGGAAGATTAGAATCTGTTCATCTGTCTCCTACAATGGCACAAGTTCAATCATGATTAGTTGTTGTAAGATTATGTGATAGCTGTAATCTGCACTGTGAAATCTTTGTTCTCAGTTTTTGAATTCGGATCAGACATTTCATGTACTCTATAGTGATTGATGGTCTTGAAACAGAAATTCTTGTGAACTTTGATATTTTTATGCTGAGGAACTCGGTTGTGCTAGTAGCTCATAGTTACCACACTTATGTACTCATTGTTCCAAGTACATACATGTAGAAGGGTCAAGTGTGCAAGTGCTCCATAGAAACGTTGATGAGCACTTGCACACTTGACCCTTCTATTGTTGAATTGAACTTCCGTGTAGGGGGGCTTATAGACCAAAGTATTTTATACTTGGTTGCATGAACTGTACTTCAACCTTTTGCCTGCAGACAAACGAAGTTTTGGAAAGAATTTAGGCTAAATGCTTTTCTTCTTTTTTTGGTGAATCCAATTATGGTTTAAGGACTTTAATAGAATATGGTACTTACATCTACACTCGGAAACTTCTTTGATGTGACATTTTTGTTTGTTTAGGGCAGCTCTGAAGATGTGAAACTGTTTCCTGGAGTTGTACATTCTTATCTATCTCTTGAGTTGTAGGCTAATATGTTTCTTGTGCATCGTTACTTTCAATTGATATTGTTGTGTCTGCTGTAGTTTTACACCACCTTATTGACAAACTTCTCTGGAATATCATGTTGATTTTCTCCACAGGAAAGGGTAGCCGATCCTTCATCAAAGTCTTCTCAGTTTGCTGCCCGGCCTAATGTTGCTCCATATATGCCACCAGTGATTCCTATGGACAATGATGATGGCATTCCATATAAAGGTTAGTGACTTTTGGCTTGAAGAAGTCTGAAGTTATATTTTGAAGCTTAGGTTTTTGGCATTTGCCAAACTTGAATGTATATCGACAGTCCTCTGCGGATTTCATGATCTGTGATAGAGAGGTTTTGGGTCTTTCTTTATTGAAATAACTTGATGTTTTTGCTAGGACTAATCTGATTTAGCTTCTTGATCTGAAAAGTGTGTTTTGACTGGTAGAATTTCTTGACAAACTTTAATGTCATTTACCTGATACATCTAAGATGAATGGGACATTTTATAGTTTTCAGCTTTTTCCAGAGTTTGCAAAGTACTTGAGCTTAGGGAGTTTTGGCTTTGAGTACCATGACATAGCAGAGATTATGTATACCTTTCGGTTAGTACACAAAACAAAGCAGTGTCAGAAGTTCACTCGATGTCGAATAACTGTCCAGGAAGCATCTTTAGCTATTGAAGTTTCACCTCCCATCTGTTTCCATTGTAGGTTGAATTTGAAGTATGAAATAAATTTAATTACCAACTGACATCTCCACATGATTTTTTTCCCTAAATTGAAAAAGGGCCTTTGTTGGCTGCTGCTTTTTGCAAGCTTGACAATGCACCTTACTTGTCTGGAAATTATCCAGCTTCAAAATGCATTATTTTATTATGCTGTGTGCATTTAGTTGTTTGGTACGTGCTAATGAATTTTCTTCATTTGTCTTTATGATTGTGTCAACTACAAAATTGTTTCATTCTATGTGCAGTCATTGAATTGAAGAAACTTTTATCTGTTAATTTTGTGTTAATGATGCAATTTTTATGCTGAAAAATTGTCACATGCTGTGCAGCAATTGCTGGTCCTACTGCAGACCTTCTTGAGCAGAATGTACAAGCCTTTAATCAGATATCTGCAAATTTCGCAACATTAAAGGTGAAGCACTTTTGTCATTATTGGTTCAGACAATTTTTGGATATGAAAGTGTATAACAGTGTGGACCAAACTTCATAGCTACACTCCCATTTGCAGTTTTGTTTCTATTTTCAGCTTTGGCTTAGTAAACACTCTTGATTTAGATTTTGATATTTTCACTTGGTGCCTGTATTGAATATTCGGTGTCATTTTTGGCAGTGTTTAGCATGCATTTTATTTCTAAGCCTATGGATGATGTGCATTCATGGCCATTTAATATTCCTCTCTTTTTCCTTTCTTCTGTGTGCATGTGTGAACACAGTTGAGTAACCAGATGGTTCATGTCCAGTTCCAATTGACAACTGTGCGATACCCAGATTCTGGTTGAATTAAAGCAAATTGTTTCCTAATGCTCTTTTACTTTGTTTTTTGTATCAGAAATACTTACATGAGCTGGTTCGTGATGTTTAGAGATGTCTCATTTATTCTTGAGCTACAGGAAAAGAATAAATTAACTTACCATGAATCACTCGTGTCACTTCATAGTCATACACAGTATATTGGGGAGGATCAGTGATGCATGGATCTCGCTTTTTTTATCTGAAAAAGCAATCTTGCATCAGCTCTGTGCTGTCACTTAATGTTTTACAACTTTTATTCTGCATTATCTTCTAGCACCATTTCCAATTGACTACATTTTATAATGGTTGTTAGACGTAATGCAAAATTGAAGTGCTTAATATTATATAGAGAGCACGTAAGATGTTGCTCTGGTCTGCAATTATTGCTTTTCTTATGCTGTTCTCTTTAATCAAGGAATCAGTGGAACGTTGAACTAACTCTTGGAATTCTTTTCTTTCAGATTCATGACAACATTGGTCTTTTTTGCCAAGCTCGTGAAAACATAGACAAAGTCATGAACGAGTGAGTTGTGTATATTATAGGTTTTGATTGTTTTATCTGTTCTTTTGTGGCACTTGAGGCATCGTCTATTGACAGATATCAAGTGGCAATATAAATAGCTATGGCTATCACCAGCATATGTCAGTGATGGTGCCTTACATGATGCTGTGAAATTATTGTTGATTAATCAGTATGATGTCGATAAATTTCACATTATTTGACAGCATTAATTTGTAGACAAATTGTGCTTTTCTTTTCCTTTTCACTTTGAGATGATCTCTATATGATGTCACTTCATTCACAACTCTCATTTTAATTCATTCCTGAAGGAAGTAATCTAAAGCTATAGAATCATGGACTACAGCATATTATGTCCATTTCTAGGCAGATGCTGTAATTTTGCTTACATGTCTCGTTCATGCGAGACCACCTACATTATATGTTTCAATCATAGAGCCTAACAAGGTAAAAGAAAGTATGACATATCATTTGTATATTTTTAGCCCCTGTTAAAATTGATGGATCTTGTATTTTATGAATTGCAGTTTGAGTAACCAGCTGGACATAATGAAGCAGATGCCACCACTCCCTGTTAAGGTGAATGAAGAGCTAGCTAATACGATTCTACCCCGAACAGCACTTCCACCGCAGTCCTGATCCTTTGTTTGCCTCTTATAGCTTTGGAACGGTGCCGAGAGATTCCTACTTCAAGGGTTGATTCGTTAATCGATATCAACCATCTGGGAGGAGGCAAATTGTCAACTAAGTGGAGCCGTCTTTCCCAAATTGATAGATGTCATTAGTAACTCCATTGCTTCAGTTTGTGCAGAGTCGTTTTTTTTTTCCTTCTTTTTTATTGGATAGTTGATGCTGTACATGTCAAAATAGAGGTGGTTTAAGGTTTAGGGAATGGCTGGAACAATAAGCAGTTCGTTAGTTACTTTTGGTTTTGGATTTCGGGAATTTGTCTTTGAAACAATCTAGTACTCTCTAGAATTCTCGTTGTCACAGTCGCTTTGGGTAGGTGGTAAAGTCCAACTCTTTTCGTCGTATGTAGGACTACAGGAATTGAATAAATTTCGATTGATAGTTCTTTCTATGATCTCCCTTTGGATCTCCCCTTGAAGGCTTTCTGAGGCATGATCAGGGAGAGCGGCAGGCATCTTCATTGCCATTATCGCTACCTCAGGCTTCACCATCTGCTGGTGATTTAGCAGCACTGTGCTTAGCCCAAGCAGGCGAGGTCGAGTCACTCCTTTCCCAAGTAACCTCCCGAGTGCAAAGTTTTATGTATTGGCTATGCCGTATTGGAGTTAAGCCTTAATGCAGCCTGGTGAAGGGGCTTGCCTGCGCCCAATCCAACATCGTATACCCTAAGGCCTTGGGAAGCAATCTGAAAATTCTCGGCAAATCTTCTGAAATTGGGATTAATCAATTGCAGCCACACAATATTATATTGCCCTAATATCCGTACTGTTGCATAAGATCAACTGAAAGAGGCACGGTAACTTTCTTGATTTCTCGGTATACCTCGGCCGCACAGAAGGAACCGAAGGTATCGTAGATTCTGTCACCAAAGTAGACAAGCTACAAAACAGGCCCTAATTTGGTATTCTGCAACGGTATCGGCATTGCAAAGCTAGATCAGCGCAATGTTGTCTCTCTATTGTTAGATTTGAAGAGTTGAGAACTGTCGCGTTGGCTAGCCTTCCGCACAAGCTCATGTTTTGCACTGATAATGTGCTGAAATTTGGCCCTTTAAATAGGAAATCGAAATACGCCTTCCGAAATTCTGAAGACGTGTCCTCTATGCTTAATAGAACTTGCGCCTTTCGATATGGTAGTGTAAAACAACTCAGAATGCAAGCAGACTAGTCTCAACTAATATGGGACTCACCATCTTATAGTTACCATTTGTCAAAATGAACCTCAAAGTAAACAAACAACTAGCTACAATCCAAAAGTAGTGTCAGGTATGTATGTGCATTTATGACAAGTGAACAAAAGAATACGTGTGCACGCGCACGAGAGAGAGAGAGACGGGACAATTGGAAGCCATTGTCGTCCACGAGAGACTACCTACAGAAATACCACCTGAACAGAGCATTATGCACATCAAAACAACAAAAGGGTATGCCCTGCTCCGCATTGAAAGGCCTCGTGTCTTCTCATATGTTGGGGCACATTGACCATGGTGATAAATCCTTACTTCCCCATCACAATCTATTTCCTCTTCTCTTCGACTGATTGCACTACTCAATTACAACCTACTTGTATATCCATTCATTGGCACGGCCACCAGACTCGTCCATATCTATGAAAATGCTAACTGCCTGCGACAAAAGCATCATTTGTTGCAATCAATCAATATACATTCAACAGTCCTAATCATACCGTACCCTCTCTATGCCTCAAAGCAAAAATTAATTGAAAGAACATTCCATCAAGTGCATGCAAGTTGGCAAATGACAACTTCTGTGGACATTTTGCCAAGTGCTGGATCGTATCTTTACCTTTCCTATTCTTGGACGCTCTTTTGACTTTGCTAGGCTGTTTCTAATGTGTGAGACAGCTCCCCAGCATCTTAATGTGTTCGCCACGTCATCGAGCCTCAGTATATACTCCTCTTCAGTTAGCGGAAAGGATCTCTTGGGGGAAAAAAGCAGAAAGGCACATCGAACAGAAGGTTCAGAAAGGATTTTCATCCCAAAACTGATATAGCAATATCCTTAAATTTCATCATTTCTTTCTAAAAGCGTAACTGGATACTACCAGGAAACCGAAAAATGCGGGTCAACCATCCACTGACCTGTTCAAGGTACTTCCACATGACATTGAGTGCCAGAAGATTTCTTCCCATAAATTCCTGTAATGTATAGCATTTATAATCATAACTGAAGTGCCGGAAGATCAGTATAGACAACCCAGTTAATCCAGTGCAAAGAGAAATTGCTAGACGAGAGTACCTAAAGAAAATGTGCCAGCAGATTAGACTTTCAGTTGACACATTCTCAGACATATAAACAGTGATTCTGTGCCAGATTCTTTTCTAAGAAAAAGCTCAGAAATACCAGTCTTCCGGACTACCAAAGCTCTTGAAAGAGATGGGTGTTCAGAATCAAGTAAGAGAAGCAAGATATAATCTCTAAGAAGTCGAGAGGTGAATCAACCGTGTAATTGACTGCTTATCGGAGTCAAAACAAAAGAGTGGAAACCTTAAGCATGATAGATAATAGTCTCATATGGATTCTACCTTATGTTTGAAGCTCTACAGTTAAACACAAAGGTCTTCCATTCTGAACCGCTCAGAAAGGCATGAACACAAAAGGCCTAAAAAGTTTTGTTGAGTCAAAGGACACCGAAATTGGAATAATAGAGCAACTCGAGCACAAGAATATACCTTCTTTATAAGCTGAATGTCGTATGACCTCCCATATTTGTTTCTAATAAGTGTGGCAAGATCTATGCCGCTAAAGGTGGAATCATCCATGCCAACAATCCTTTCAAGCTCCTCTCTGAGCGATTCATCACTTACCTGAAATATCAAAAACAGTAGCACAGATGCTAACCATAAGATTCTTGCAGCACAACCCTACATTTACAGGGTTAAGAATTGAAATTATACCAAGTCATACTTGGCAAATGAACCTTTCTCCTATATTCGAAAAGGCAATAGAAAAAATCCAGGAAAAGTGGACAAAAGAAAAAGAGGAGATGAGATGTTCTTTCCCTACTTGAGAGCCAACAGTCTCTAATAGCAGGCTCTTAGAGTGAAAGGACGTGATGGAGAGAGAAGTGAAATCTTAAACATAATTAAGATTTATCTTCATGTTATCGATGCCATCCAAGAAACAGATGAGGAGCATGAAAGGCTCATAATTGAAGATGAAGGAATCAACTTCTTTTGCTTGTCAGTAAGCGCAGTCAATTTCTTTTGCTTGCCAGTTCACTCCATAGATAATGAATCATAATTAAATTAATGATGATTTTAGCAATTTTCAAAATGTAGACTTGCAGTCCTTGAAGATGCAGAACACAGGAAACAAAACAGCTGACTAAGCCGAAAGTCCAAAACAAGAGACAAAGACAAACTAATTGCTCTTTCATCTTTCATTCCTCTGTCAGTAGCCAAATATTACTAAAATGGGTGAAAATTGCTGCACTTGATGTTTCTTTTGCAATACTCAAAGTCTCATAAAATGTTGAATCCCCAGAGTACTAAATCCTTGATAATTAATATTGTATATTTTTTTACTAAAACCAGTAACAACCAAAATATTGAATTGGAAAACTAGCATCACTGGCTAAAGGATGGTCTGGCAATTGATGAAACATACATAGTTAAGTACAGGAAAATAAGATTACCTCTCCTTGGTCATCATTGGTAGAACTTTCACCGTTAGGTTCATCTTCAGAGTTCTCTGAGTCCATCCCATCACCCACTGAACTGGAATAGACTGGCCCATGTCTTCTCGAGCATGGACTGGGTTCTACTGAAGGCTGTTGAGCAAGGAAAAACATGCTTCCATTTGGGGAAAAATATGAGCCAGAATACCCTAAACGCGGAACCTTCTTGCATTTTCCTTTAAAAGAGAACTCTGGGATCCTCTGAGACCAATTACAATGATGGCATGGCAAGAGACTTGTCATATCCTCTATATCACAAAAAACATGGATTAAAAATTACCACGTAGCTAACGGAATGACTATTTCCTTTTTTCTTTATTTTATGTAACGATAATTTCACAAATCAACAAATCATATCTAATGTTTTTCAAGAGGAAAAAATTTAATCAAGTGCTTTGGAGATATTGTGAAGAATCTGAACTAAGAGTTTAGAATCGATAAACCAACTTTTCAACATACAAAATGAAGAGGGAAACAAAATCCTGCTAGGTAGATGCATTTGCATAGTCTACTGAAGTTGACATATTTTCTTCGTTGGCCATCTCTCCTGAAGTTGATGCAGCTGCAATGGACTAAGAGAAGTAGAACTAGAACACAACCAGACCGATGCGACACACACAAAGTGTTGCAGACAAAAACTCTCAAAGCCTGTACTTTTCTAAAAAGAGGCAAATGTCTAAACAAATTGAACATGACAAAAAAAAAGACTAAAAACCCTAGAATCCTGATATCACTCAACGAAGATAAGATGTAAAACTGTAAACTATTTATCCCACTGGGGCATAAACCTGCATTAGAGCTCAGTACTATTGTCAAATACTCCAATGGCATGCTCCTTTGGATGGATAAAACACAACCTTGAGTTTTAAACGGTTGTAGATTTCCTTTGATTGCCAGAAACTCTGGAACCACATTACTGAAGCTTTCTTACTTAAGTACAGTTTGTTCCTATTATCCTAGAATCTTCTTTCTTTCAGAAACATGCATGTGAGCTTAGTACAAACTCCTCTCTCCCTTCTTTCTTAGCTAAGAATTACCCCAACAGATCTTGTTACTGGCCATATGTATGTGAGCTTTATACTTCAGAATTGCATCCAAGATGATAATAACGTGTGCTGTCCTATGGTGAAATTCCGTCCTCTTTACCAGTCATGTCAAAAAAAGTAAAACCAAGCATCATGAAAGGACGATGACCAACTGTGGTCATTGGCCAAATAGATTACTACAGCAGAACGAAGTGATCAAAGATGAACACAGCCAAGATTACTTGCGTACTTATAGAACTGCAATAGGTCACTTCGAATAGCAAAAAGGCCAACTCAAAGACAGCCCTCCGCAATCAGGGTAAACTAAATCGAGAAGGCATGGACATACACTTCCCAACAGTGGGTATACACTCGGCGACTGATCCAACCGACATGGATGTATTTTTGCACTAGCAAAGCGGTTGAGCAAGCACATAAACTATGAAGCTTCCGATCCATATGGGTTTAAGTGCTGGAAACTTGCTTTCTTAGCCAATTAGCCATGCCAGGTACCAAGTCTCATTAACTCAAAAGCAAGCTCAACGTTCCACTTTCTCTTCCCTTCAACTTTCACGTATTCATTTCATAATCTAAAAATCGCTATTCGGGTTGAAACGGAGGCCCCCCAAAAGCACTCTCTGTTTACTTCAGAGTCTCCACAGAGGAATAGGAATAAAAAAAAACAGAGGACGACGTCATTGTACCACAAAGATATTCCCACTCGGGCATCCGCTTGTCAACAACCTTTCCAATTTCTCCAACTTGCACGATCGAATTCTAACGACCCCAGTTCAGAAAAGATGCTCGAAAGAAAGAGAGACAGAGAGAGAGAGAGAGTTTACGAAGTGGGTATCGTCCGTGAAGAGTCAGCTGGGTAGTGGTTGGCCACTGATAGCTTTCTGAAGCTTCTGCTTGGGAAGAAGCCCAGAGAGAGAGAGGGAGACGTGGAAGGGAGAGAAGGGGAGATGTGTGGAGCAGTTTCTTCTCTGCAAGTGGATACTCCAGAGTCCACAGAGACAGAGACAGAGACAGAGAGACAGAGCAACAATTCTCCTGTATGTTTATTTAGCGGTATATACGGTTTTCTTGGCCACTTGTGAGTTCTTTCTTGCGTGGCTAGTGCGTTTCGGGCATTTCAGCTCCTCTTTATCCCTTCTCCCCTTTTTCCTTTCTTCGAATAAATACCACGGAAAATTTCAAACCATCCCTAAACACAAATACCTTAAAATTTTAAACTCTAATCTCACTCACCGCGACATAAAAACCCGAAAATCCAAACTTATACATACGTGACATATATACTCTTTATTTCAGTTTCGGACAAATACCACAAGAAATTTCAAGCTATGCTAAACACAAATACCTTAAATTTTACTCTAAACTTGCACGCTGTGATTTAAATACCTGAAAATCCAAACTTATACATGTGTGATATATATACCCTATATTTCAGTTTTATCCGGGGGTATTTGTCACACTGGTATAAGTTTGGGGTTTTTTTATGACACACCAAAAAGTTTAGGATATTTGTGTCAGAATAGACAAGTTTAAAATTTTTAATGATACAAAAGAAAGTTCGGATAATTGTGTCAATTGAACATAATTTAAAGCGTTTTTGTGATATTAACTTTTCTTCTTTTCTTGTTCTTTATTTTTAGTCTTTGAAATAACTCAAGAAGAGAAATACCATTTTACTATGATCGGTCTATAAAATTAATTTGTTAATTAACGTGGCGGACTGCTATTAGATATCGAATACGATCTATCTAGTTGTATACTCATTTGTAGTCTAGCACTGCACTCAATAAGACGATTTTATAGACGAGCTGACTTTTTAAATTCGAGTGTAGGATCAGGGTTTTTGGAGTAACGCTTTTTTCGTAGAAGAACTTTGTTATTTCTAGAAATTTTACGCTCAAGCATCAAACTCCGAAAAAAAATGGCAATTTTTAAAGAACCAAACACTATTTCAAAATTAGAGAAGATACACAAACTTTCGAATAAAAGAATATAAAGAACTATCAATCACTAATTTACAATTCACGAGGCTCGCAAGGTATTTCGTGAGCTCGGAACTCAGATCTCTACCCTCAGTATTTTAACATCAAAATTAAAGCCATAGCGAGCACCAAACTAAATAAAAGTACATTTCCTTAGGCCACTCAAGAAAAATATGCAAGATGCGAAGGTTGGTTGAGTTCTAAAGTAAAAAAGCAAGGAGCAAAAGCGGATTTAGAAGATGAACATTGACAATACTATATTAAGAGATAATGAAACAATTTTTCACCCCCCCAAATATATGATGATGTGAAGAGTATACATAGGTAGATACGAATCATTCAAGAGGGGAGGCGACCCCCTCGGCCGGCCGCCCGCCCGCCACGGCGGTCGCCACCGGTATCCTCGCTTGGAGGCGGCGGAGAAGACGTGACACGGCCCGCAAAAATCTCTCCGGCCGGCCGAAAAGGGAAGAGAAAGAAGTCGTGGGTGCACACTGCCTTTGACTCCCACCGAACGTGTGCTGGTCAACCTCCATTATCATCACGCCGGCCATGGGGGGTGCGAGGAGGAAGACGGAGGGTGAAGAGACTGCCCACCAACTTCAGTTCGTTCGTGGGCGCCCGTCAGTTTCCCCTCAGCTTCCTGTTTCCGGAGATTCTCGTCGAAAAACCGACACCGCGCGCCGAATGCAGAGAACGAAACGATCGGTTCGCTTCTCGACGGATGTGATGGGATGATGGTGTGATCGCTCTACAGCTGATTCTGTCTTTCGTTGCCATATTAAATCTGAGTTGGTGTCACGACTCAGTATGTTTAGAACCTCTGTCTCTCGCTCGCTCACTCGAGAAGTTTGCTTTTTTTTTTTTTAAAAGAAATTCTATTGATATGACCGAGCTCAATCCATGTATTCTATACATGTCAACACACCTCAGTTGATTCCCCAAGTGGTGGCATGTATGTAGGACGGAAGGACACTAATTTGAAGGGCTCATGATGGCAAACATTTGATTACATTCCCAGGTTAAGCAGATTTGCAACAACGAAAGTCAAAAGATTCGACTTCTAAGGAAAGTGTATCAAGTTAGGTTACCATACTCCATGTTTATGTTAGGCTAATAACTCGGCTAGATATGGATTTGATGACAGGCATGGCATTCCTAGTTGCTACAGGACTGCAACCTGTGTTCATATGTCATCCTCCTGATGCCCGGCCTCCCCGTTATCTCTCGCCCGATCTATTCTTGGTAATGAGAAGGTAGTGCACAGCTTCAGGGATATGCAAGACGTGGAGGAGGAGAGGAAAAAATCTTCTCCCACCGGTACAGAATTTTCGTTCTCCGTAACTGCATTCTAATCAAATGCCATGGCTTTGCAATTTTGTCTGCTTTCGACTTCACTGTTTTGCTTCAAGAGTTCTTCCCGAGATCCATAGTTGTGAAGTGCTGGTCTGCTGGTGAATTCAAAGAGGTGCTTAACTGTCTCGAATCTGCTTTTGGGTTTTTCATCATGGTGGGGTCGAGTCTGCAAAAAGGGTAATGAAGGCGACTCATGTAGCTTCATTTACGTCATTCTGCATGAAACTGGCCATAATGTTGCGCTCCGCACAGCCGCAAATTAGAGGGTGGCACCACAATAATCTTAGGACTTGTATTTGATCCTAAATGAGTGCAGTTGGCTGATGCAAATGTGACCGTGATCTCTGCTCGGTTGCTTTCGAGATGTCGTTGAATTCGGGAGGGTATGTGGTTTCAAGGCGCTTCCTTCTAGTGCTATCAGTTCTCTTCATTTCACGGGTTAATCTGGTTAGATCAGGCGATGCAGAACCGCTTCTTGCTCTCAAATCAGAGATTGATCCGCTGAATTCCTTGAATTGGCAAGGAAGTGGGGTGTGCCAATGGCAAGGAGTCAAAGAGTGCATCAATGGGAGAGTCACCAAGCTTGTGCTTGAGCATTTGGATTTGAGCGGCACTTTAAATGACGACATCCTCAACCAGTTAGGCCAATTGCGCGTGCTTAGCTTCAAAGGCAACTCCATATCAGGCCGAATCCCCGGTCTCTCTGGCCTCGTCAATCTCAGATCTCTCTATCTCAACGATAACAGTTTCACCGGCGAGATCCCGAGCTCCCTTTCGGAGCTGAACCTCTTGAAAGTGATAGTCTTGGCCGGTAATCGACTTTCCGGGACTATACTGGAGTCTTTTCTCCGATTGGGTCGGCTCCACACTCTCTATTTGCAGGACAACTTATTTACTGGGACCATCCCTCCATTCTACCAAGCCGGTCTCGCGTTCTTTAACGTGTCTAACAATCGACTATCCGGTTCAATTCCCGCGACTCCTACCCTGATGAGATTCAATGCTTCATCGTTCTCGGGCAATATAAATCTCTGCGGTGAACAAGTCCATGTGGCGTGCAACAGCAGCGTGTTACTGGGGCCTTCAATTAGTCCTGCGTACCCTCCTATTGCGCCGAGCTCTAATGGGTCGGGTAGAAGAGCAAAGCCAATGAAGATCGTTTTAGGGACGGTAGGTGGACTAGTGCTGCTCATAATCATTTTCGGCTCATGGATGGTCTCGAAAAGTCGTGGCGAGAGCAAAGCTTTGGGGGAGGCAAGAGGCAAAGAGGGCGTGAGTGAAGCAGCAGAAAGCGAGGAAGAGCCGAGTAGAAACAGAGGCACTAATGGTGGGATACAAGGCGGGCCTGCGTTGGGAGGCGAAGAGCTGGAGGCCGGGGGTCTGGTGTTCTTAGGAGCAGGTGATCAGAGGATGAGCTACAGCATAAAGGACTTGTTGGACGCATCGGCGGACATGCTTGGAAGAAGCACGGTGGGGACTACTTTCAGGGTGGAGATCAACTCGGAGTATACAGCAGCCGTCAAGAGGCTGAAGAACGCTAACTATCCGAGCATGGACGACTTCAGGAGAAGAATGGACGTGCTCGGGCGACTCAGGCACCCGAACTTGGTGCCGCTGCGGGCCTATTTCCAGGCCAAAGAGGAACGCCTTCTCGTCTACGATTATTATCCTTACGGCAGCCTCTTCGCGCTGATTCGCGGTACGCTCGGTTTCTCTCATTTTCTCGTCCTGGTTCTGGTAGATAAAACAGCGACTAGATTCGTATGCAATGCATCTACTTGAGCATCCATCCTATTCTCTGCAGGATCATCGGGGACTTCAGGAGGTGAAAAGCCTCTTCACTGGACGGCGTGCCTCAAAATAGCCGAAGACGTGGCCACCGCGCTTCTCTACATCCACCAGGACCACGGTATAACCCATGGAAACTTGAAATCTTCCAATGTGTTGCTCGGTCCCGACTTCGAGGCATGCCTGGCGGATTATGGTCTCTCCTCATTCCAGGATCCGAATTCTCCTGAAGAGCCGAGCACCGTTTCACTATTCTACAGAGCTCCCGAATGCCGAGACATACGCAACCCAATCACACAGGAAGCGGACGTCTACAGCTTTGGCATCCTGCTGCTGGAGCTCCTGACGGGCAAAACGCCGTTCCAGGAACACGGGTCCGATTTGCCGGGGTGGGTTCGGTCGATCGGTGAAGAAGAAATGGAGAACACGGGCGATTCCAATCTAGGCAGGGGCGTGTACGAGGAAAAGCTCGAGACGCTCTTGAGCATCGTGATGGCTTGCCTCTCCCCCGCTCCCAACAACCGGCCTTCGATGGGGGAAGTCCTGAAGATGATCCGAGACTCGAGGACGGGATCCGAAGCGTCCTCCGGCCGCAGCGACCAGCCGTAGGCTAGCATTTCCGACATGCTTCGTCAATCGACCGAAATACTTTCGTGAAGATGCGGTTCTTGCTTACGCAGCTCGCTCGGTACTCCATTGCGAAGAATTTACAAGATGGCAACTTCAATGTAATCGAATTTAGCCGCCGAGATTGCACGCTCAGAATTACATCGCGCGACATGCTATAGCTAGCAAAGCATCTTTTGATCAATCGGGGGCGTTCTTGCTTCCGAAAAGCCAAATTCTCAAACTTACAAATACATAATTTTCGCATTTCCAATTAAATTCTCACAAAAACTCTAGATTGCCTCTATGTTCTACATGTAAAATTGTACAAAATAAAAAAGGAAAATTCCAAATCATGATCTGAAATTGAGCATAAAGTGACTATATCAGTCTCAAATAAGAATCCGACCTCGTGCGGCCAAATGGCATTTCGTCCTTTACTTTTTTTTTTCTTTTCTTTTTTCCTTATTCTGTTTCTTTCTTTTTCTTTCTCCTTGTTCCCTCCGCTAGCCATTACCGGGCCTCGTCGATTGGACTCAGGTGAGGGCAAGAGTTACCCTCGCCAGATCTGGCAAGTGTCGCCCTTGCTCGCCCAACCCAGGCGAGGCGACCTTCGCTCGGCGTCGGCGAGGGCGGCTCTCGCCCGTCGAGGCAAGGGAGACCCTTGCCCAACGCCGGCGAAGGCGGCCCTTGCTTGTGACCGGCAATCTCCGCCGGCCATCGACGAGACGCGGCGATGGCCGGGGGGAGTGAAGAGGGAGAAAAGAAAAAAAGATAAGGAAAGTAAAAAAAAAAATCAAAAAAATCAAAAATATATATTTAGAATTTTTTTTGGACTAAAATACCCATTCTCCGACGGCCAAAATAGTCACATGTTGGCTGTTGGCCGGCCGAGTGGCCAAAAGTCTATATTTTGGACAATCTGGCCAGCTTCGTGCCCTTATTCGAAACAAGGTCCACCTCAGGTCCTTACGCGAGGCAACCTGGCCACTTCGGGCCCTTATCCGAAATCCTCCCCGAAAAAGGAATCACAGACCTTATTTTTCAAACCACAGCACCCTGAGCTTGGGTGCATGCACGGCATGAATCCAACAATAGGGGAAGTTTAACAAAAAAGAAAAAAAAACAAAAGGAGGGAGGGGGGGGTGTGGCATCAACCAAAGAAAGGAACACACCAAATGGGTGGCGGGGGGAAAAGAGAAAGAAAGGTGACAGAAAAGGAAACCCAAGGTGGAGAGTCCACAATGATCGGGCATCAAATGCCCTCTCTTCCCTCTTTCCCCTCGTGGGGGATTCGCACTGTTGCTGAATTCCAAGATGAGAGAGGAGAGGAGAGGAGAGGAGAGGAGCCACTCACTCCCTCCTCCTCCAATTATATATTAGTTCTCTTTTGCTCCCAAAATCGAATAACTTATCCACAAAATTTGCGCAAAAAGAAGAAAAAAACCGAAAGAAATTCTCTCCCTCTCTGTCTCTCTCCTCTTCTTCTATTTTGGCATCGACCGCCGATTTATCTAATCCGTCGAAAAATCCGAGGCATATTCCAATAAAGAGGAGGGGAGAAAAATAGCGCGGGCGAGGGAAAAGGGGAGGGAAAAAATGGAATAAGAAATAGAGAGAAATGTCCATCCCCTTGGGCAGCACCACCCCAAAAGCAGCAGCAGCAGCAGCAAAATACGGTGACGACGACGCCGCGCGAGAGTTCGGTTGGCTTTCCCCTAACTTTCTTCTCATCGTCACATGTATATATTTAAACCGGTGTCGGGGGAGGGCGACCTGCTACGGCAATGCCGTGCCGTAGAATCGAACGAGGAGCTACGAGGAATACGTTATCCGGGGCATAAAATTGATCTTATTTTTATTTTCTTGCGCATGAAGGCGAGATAAAAGAGCCGGTTTTTTTTTTCAAACTGATCATATTTATTTCTCAACCCCCCGAAAAAAAAAAGAGAAAACGAGAGATTGATTATATTTATTTCAAAAAAAATTTTCCTTTTTTTTAAGCGAGAGAAAAAAGGACGAGCAACCAATTAGGGCTCTGTCGGAAAGTTGAGGCCCAAAAAAGTTTAACGTTCTCTTATTGCTCCCCCTTTCTCTCTCCTCTCTCCTGCGCTCTTGATTCTGTGCGCTCTGATTTTTCTGCTCGCTTTGCTCGCAAATTCCGCGTTCTCGATCGAAGATGGTGTGAAGAGGAGCCGACCCAATTGGGCAAGCTCCGATTTTTCCCCTCGCCGAGCGAGCGGCGGCTGCTCCGATCAATTCTTGATTTTGGCGGCGGAATCGCTTCTGGGTGCTTCGAGCTTCGCCGAGCCGGGGGCGGGGAGGGGAGGGGCGGGTCGGAGGAATCTGCGGCAGCCGTGGGGTTCTTCGGGCGTCGGGATTCGCGATCGAGCTGGGTGGGTTTCTGGGTCCGTTTCGGTCGCGCGAGGAAGGGGTATACGGGAATTCTTTCCTCCTCTGTTTCTCCGGGAAGCTTCAGTGGGTGAGTTGATAATGGAATCTGAAGTCTTGTCGCGGCCTGAAGTCGAGGAACTTCGTGCCGATTCTTAAGCCCGTTGCTGCCCCGAGCTCCGTGGGGAGTGGCGGTGGGGGGTTCGTCCTGCGGGGAAGCGTGTTGTTTTTTCTTGTGTGCGTGGGGCTGGGGAGGTGCGGGTGGGTTGTTGGGTGGCGATAAAGTGGATGGCTTCGGGGCGTTGTTAGAGCCCGGGAGGAAGGGGGGAAGGTGAGGGAATGGCGATGGAGTCGAACATGCCGAGTTCGTCGGCTCTGGGCAGGCACGCGATTTCTTTCCAGGCCGGCGCGCTGAACACGACGTCGGAGATGGTGCCGATGATGGGGGGCAGTTACTTCGGGGTCAACGGCACGGGCGGGGGGATGGTCTTTTCTGCTGGGAATTCCGCTACCCTGGGCAACAGTTTGGGGTTGGCTCAGGCGGGGAATTCGTCGAGCTCCCTCCTCCTGGATTATGTCCCGGGGCTCAAGCATGATGCGGATTTGGCTGTGGAGTGGTCTGCTGAAGAACAGGATAAACTAAACGAGGGCCTTAGGAGGTAAAAAAATTTCGAGCTGCATCTATCTTTGAAACGTCTAAACGGGCGTCTGTTGGCGGGCATACGTGATTTTTCTCCATTGCTTTACTTGTCTTCAGCTGGAGTTTTAATGGTCAGGAAGTTCTTTGAGCTTGGCCTGTTACCCATTTAGGTCTTTCCCTCTACCACGCAATCGAAAGAGAGGAAAGAGGAGAGACGTATCAGCCGGTCATTATAGAGCTGCCTTGTTGTAGGCTTGTAGCTAAGAACGTCGTGCCCGAGCTTGTTATTCTGGCTATGAACCGAATATGAGGAAGTGAACATGAACTCTTTTCTGTTCCGCAGGCGCTAATCATTCTAAACCCCCCGATATTTGAATTCCCTTGCTAGGTGAAATCCCATCTTTAGCTGCTCGGTAGAGACTCTCGTTTAGGCTACATATGGTGAACTTCTGATTTAGCTGCTACCGCTCTTCGGCTTCCAAACATTTTGTCCGCAATAACTCTTTTCGGTTGCTGATAATTAGTTTGATAAGCTTTTGTGGGATCTCGTGAATGATCTGCTGTCTAGACTTCCATTCTAGGTGTAAGTTGTGCCTGTTTGTTCAACCTCAAAGTGTATCCTTCTTTTCCTTTGTTTGCACTCATGTTCCCACTCTATGGTATATGTACTTTAACTGAAGTCTTGGTGGATGTGACATCTTAATCGTTTTCTACATCAATCATGAGATTATCTTCTTTTCTGCCTTGGAAATCACGAGTGCCTTTCTCCTTTCAATTGTAGATACGCTGATGAGCCTAACATAATGAAGTATATCAAAATAGCGGCCACGCTGCAGGACAAAACTGTGCGGGATGTTGCTCTGAGATGTAGATGGATGACGGTAAGTTCATCTGGAATGTCCTCTGAGTCTAGATAACCTTTTCAACTTCAGTAGTTGCTTATGATGCGTTTGGACATTGTCAGTTGTTTGGACTTGGTGTCTTTGCTTGTATAATCTTGTTGACGGAGTTGTATACTTGTCAAATTGAAATGTTAGATTATTTGCATTTCATGTGAGGGGAATCAAACCTATGTCGTGCACCTAAACCCCACTCAGCTGATTTTATGTTCTTCTTGTGCATGCACTCGGAGGCTTGGATTGTCTCAGCGCATAATGTTTCTTCAAATACCTCCTTAGAGTCCACAATTGTTTTTCCTACTTTTGTTACTGTCACTGGGACATACATGCAACTTCTGTCGTGGGATGATCTCTCCTTCTTTATGTCCAATCAATTGAGTGTTGTTTTAGTCAACTAAGGAGTTAGACATATAAAACTTGGCCCGATGTTGAGATCAGTTGGTCGGGTTGAGGAGTGAATCCAATCATGCTTCTTTATCGAACTGCGATGACTTTCAATAATATGAAGTCAATAAAATATTCTGCAAATTGATACGTGGCGTAGCTTCTGATCTAATCTCCTCCTGCACGATATGCGAGGACAGTCCATAATGATAAACTTTGTGCGTGCTTATTGGGATAGGTTTGGAAACTAAACCACACTCATTTCCAAAATTTTCCCTAAGAACAAGTCAGACTTTCATAATCAAGTGATCAGAATTCAGCTGGTTTTGATGTTCTTGTGCATGCACTTGGAGGCTTGGATTGTCTCAGCAGATTAATGTTTCTTGAATTGCCTCCTTGGAGTCCACAATCCCTTTTCAGTTCGTACTCATGTCATTGTAACCGAGATATATATGTTACTTCTGTCACGTGATGATCTCGCCTTCGTTAAGTCCAATTTAATGGGTGTTGTTGTTAGTCAATTAAGGAGTAAGACAATTAAAACTTGGGCTGAAGTCGAGGTCAGTTGCTTAGGTTGAGGAGTAAATCCACTTGTGCTCCTCTATCTAACTTTGATAACTTTCCCTGGGAAGTCAATAAAATATTTCTGCTAATTCAAATGCGGCTTAGCTTCTGATGTAATCTCATCCTACGTGACATGCAAGAAGAGTCCATTACAATAATAATGAACTTTGTGTATGTTTGTTGGGATAAATTTGGAAACTAGTTGTGGTCATCTTACTTGTTATCTTGATGGTCATTCCTTGTTTAAAATTGATTGTGATGACAAACTTTATATGTCCCTATTCTCATACTGAATGAATGAAAGTAGTATGGCGTTGTTAAAATTTATTGGATTTATCTATTAAAATGGAAAAAAGGAAATCATTAAAAACTATCGTTAAAGGTCGAGATGACTTGATAGCTCATTGGGCATTGTAAACATGGTCGCTTCTCATACCAAAAGGTACTTGAGCAGCCTCCTGTTTGATTGGTTTTTTTTCTGCTCATTACTTTAATAATATGATCTCTTTCCTCGACCTTCTGGTTACATGCAAATCAATAGAAGAGCTCACCGTAGTTTAGGAGAAAATGTTTCTGAAAATTAAGGCCATCTGGAATCTCATACTGTTCTGGTGTAACATGACTAACTTCATCTTGATAACATAACAGGTGGAAATTGCTTTGCCTCATTATGCTGGTGCTTTCAGTACATGAGCTTCACTTTGTCTCCTTTCCTTTCTTAAGAATTATTTTTCTTTACTGGGCATTCTCGATATCTTGAAGCCGCAGCATCTTGTGGGCAAATTTGCAATTTTTGGAGCAATAGATGTAAACTCGAATAGTCGCTCCAGCATTTTATTGTTGGGTTTTTACGAGAAAAAGCATCAGTTGTACATTTTTTTGCTACTAAACCAGTTTTGCTCCCTGAAATATGTCCATGCCATTTTTAACATTCTATCAGAAGGAAAGTTACACTAAGAAAGGGTACCAAGGCAACATGTGTATGAAATCAATTAACTAGCTACAAGATAATAGAAGAACCATAGAAACTGCAATCCGTGACATGGCTTATGCTCCACTGAAGCATAAGGGTGGATGGTCACTCTTTCAAGGTTATTGCAGGAGCTTCTATTTCTTCTCTCCTGCTTAAGTTGAACCCAGAAAAGGAAATGAGGAAGGAAAAGTAACTCTTTTCATTTAAGAGAATGTGAAAGTTTTCCTACTTAATCATCTTTACAACCACGTTTGTGTCCCACATGTTCATGAACTTGTTGCCACCTCTGCTCGCATGCAATGTCATAACAAATAATAGAATTTTAGGCATTGTCGTCTAGCTACAACTGACTAGGTTGTGTTAGAAGGATATATTTTGCAAATTACAGGTGCTCTATCACATTGTTGGAGTATCAGTCGGTAGATGTCAAGCCTCTTTTGGCCAAGTTAGTATGTTCGAAGGCTTCGTTATTCTCCGTACTTCAGCCAAAGCAAAGAATTAAGTGTTATGGACTTCTTTTTCGCATTGATTCTATTGACTGATTAACCTACAAATCGTTTTGACATTTTGAGTATTCACTTTGTCATATCTAAGATGGCATATTCCTAGTTAAAGCTTCTATAGACTTTTCTTAATAGTTCTAAACATGTATATATATTTACCCAGTGTATGACTATTATATATATATGGCAATTATTAGCCTATGGAATTTTTGTTTGGTCGATGTATAAATCTTCTTCTCTCAAGATTGTGGGAGTAACATCATTAGTTGCTTAAATTTACTTTTTTGCTCTGAATGTTTGGTACCACAATTATTCCGGTCATATGTTGCATCAATTTATTTAAAAAACATCGATACTTCTTTCAATGATCGGCGAAGTTTATAATTGAAAGAGTAATCAGTTGTGAGCTATCCTAAAAAAAAATAGGAAACTGGTGCTGTACACCTAAAAAAGAGGTATTTTCCGGGCAACATAATAAATCAGAGGGCCCTAAGCAGTTGTCAATCATGCACAGAAGAATCAATTGCCAGAGGAATCTACGAAAGACTCTTAAGTCTATATAATCCCAAACTTTCATATCTATCTTGTTTGGAACTGACGTTACTGACCAACACGAGGATAAAGATGTGCACCCCCTGGGTACCACTTAAATTTACTTTTGTTTTTATTGACCAACATGGAAAGAAAGAGGGGTGGGGGTGGGGGTGGGGGTGGGGGGCCCTATGTCAAATTTTCCAATGGGCACAAGCTGAGATGTTTCTTACAGCCCCTAACAGGTTAAAAAGCGAATTGATGACACAGTTTGAGAGATTCCAGTTAGTACTAGGGCAGTAGACAGACTGTTATACTTCATCTTATGCTGGTGGTATTATACTATTCTGATTGTTTGAATTGACTGACACTCCCTCCTATGTCCTCTTATGTTATGAGGTCTTGTGCTCGAAAGTGCACTTGTTAGAAAGTAAGTTGATTGTATTGGAGTAGGTGGGAAGGTTGCACATATGGGCTGAGAACTAGGTCTATTTATTACTTATATATTTTTCTCCATAGTCGATCAAAGTTTAGGAGATAAATCAATGGAAGGTTGGGGATTTTTCCAATCAAGACTTTATACATGTTATTTCATCATTGAACTTTTTCCAAACAAAGTTGGCTGATAATAAATGAAATGGTGGCCACAACGTGGGATTGTTGGAGGAGGTAATGGTCCTTAGATCTAAGGAAAATTGCAACTTGGAATATTTTTTTTGAAAATACTTCCTCGTGTTAAGCTTGGGCTACAAGACCTTGGTTCTTTTGGGCTTTGTGACTTGCTTTGCACCTTGAACACACTGATTTGATGGAATGTGTGGTTAATACGACCTTTGACATGCAGAAACATCCTTGATTATATCATACTAATTATGATACTGTATATTTATATCCTTTCATGAGGATTAATAAGATGATTCATTGATCTGACTTATGCTGTGGAATTGCTGCAGAGGAAGCGAAGGAAACCTGAAGAACACAATCTAGGCAAAAAGGTGAACAGCCGAAAGGTGTGTCCCCCTTTACATTTTTGTTTACCGAAAAGTGTCTTTTTTCTATTCTTCTAAGTTCTTTAAAATTTAAACTAAGAAACATTATCTAGAACTGATAATCCTACTGGTGATGGCAACCGATAGCCAGCTATTCTTTTCTTGTTTGGGGTCCCCGTGTCCTTATATGATACTACATGATAACTGTAGGTTTCCTTGTGTCCCTGTATGTTTGTACCTTTGGAACCTTTTGGTGTTAACCTCTTCTTTCTACTACAATAAAAATTGCGGCAAACAATTTTGTAGTTAAAACCAGTCCTGGTATTCTAGAAATGAAAGTCATACTTTGTGAAGTTTGTATCATGTGCTTTTTTCTTACGAGTGTATATCATGTTCTACTGGTGTAAGTTTGATTATTCAAAACATTTTTTGCATATAAGTTGATTGCCTTACTAACCACCTTTGGAAACCAAGTTATTTTGGATGTGATAATTTCATGACCATGCCTCTTCAGGATAAGCTGGTGGAATTGTCTGCAACTAATTCTTCATGTCTACCACAAAATATGGCTGCCTATACTCCTATGAATCGGCATATGGACCAGAATGAGCTTCTATCTTGTGAGGGTCAGTAGTTCTTGTTTGATTTTCATGAACAAAATCAGATAATCCTTTTTCCGTCACAACTTTGTACGTTAAATTCACCTGTTTTGTTTCTATGATGGCAAATCAAAGGTCATATCAAATTTTCATAAATTGCTGATGCACTTTTTATTGTTTAGCATATCATACCACTGAAATCAAATTTCTTCGTTTGTCCTTTCATCTTTACCCTTTTCCTTTTTTTAGTTGTAGGAAGCATGAAATGACATGAGTTTGTCTCCTACTTATTTTGCAGATGAATGTCTTAAAGTGCATATCATCAGTTGTAGGTGAAAGTTAAGTTTGTTGCACATATTTTTCTGTAGCTGCATGAATATTTCATTAGTTGGGGAAAGCCATTGCTCGTTGCAATGACACTTTGAACGGTTTATTTAGCTTTACCAGTCTATTTTTTATGCCATGCCTGCTGCAACGGTCATAAAGAAGACTGATATTGGATAAATCATCGAATTCTGCTATGTCTAATTTGTTTGAACATGTGAATTATATCTTTGGTGTATCGACAGAATTTCTTTTTATTAGTGTAGAAGGAGATAAATGTTTCTGTTAAATCTCTTTTGCATCATTACATTTTCCACTCAACTTCCTTTTAGCCCTTTCTAACTAAAGGGGTACACAACGTGTATCTTTTTTGTGCCCTCATATTCTATAGGAGATTAAATGGAGCACTCCATTTAACATCCATGACATTATCCCTCAATGTCTTGTGGCTCGTGGTCATGGTGATACGAAAAAGACGCTTCTTATTCCCTGACCTTGTAGTAGACTGTTTTTCCCGTCTTTGACAAGATGGACTGGTTATATTAGAATTCACAAGAGGCCATGAGTCAATTATCCTTTGGATGCGTTTGTCTTGAAATTTATGAGATACCAATTATCTTTAGTTGCTTGCTCAGGGATTGATGGCACTTCTAGGCAGCTCTTAAAGCAAAATGCACAAGCATTCAACCAAATCTCTACGAATCTTCATATGCTCAAGGTACAGTGCAAGAGGCCTTTTTTGTGCTTAATATTTTTGCATATTCTACCTGAAGGAAAGTGGCTGCAAAACTATCTGTTTTTTCTTTTATGAACATAAAGTTTGTATATTTGGTTTAGTCAGCTTTCTTTATTGTACTTGTTGGTATTTCGCTGGTAAGGTTGGAGAATACATCTTCATTCATGCTCTTACTTTTCTTCAATATGTTTGATTTATCTTCAACCATCAGTTTTCTGGTATCTCTCTCTCTCTCTCTCTCTCTCTCTCTTAATGTGTGGTGTGAAATCAGATCTATCCACAGATACATGCTCACATATGCGCGAGTTTGTGTGAACGACGATTGTTAAGAGAAAATTGCATGGGGAATCTTATCAATGGAAAACTAACATTTAGCATCTTTATTTGTTTTGTGATAACACGGGGGGTTTGTCCGTTCACATGATGTCTCTATGTTGATCTTCATAATATCGAACTATAAGTTCTCTAAATGGCAACAATGCAGTGCGTATTGTTCCATCAGTTGTTTAGTGATTCTTGTCTGGTTAATAACTTATACCCTACATTGTGAACTTATGTATATGAACGAGGGCTGTTAAGCAGTCACCTTTTGAGGTATTATTCATACCCAATGATTCCATCGCTATGGAGCTAATTTTTTCTTATGAAGAGAGGACTATCCATTGTATCTTGAATAAAAACTGAGAGAACTGCTATGGATGGGCCTACTCGATGTCCTTTTGTATGGTTTCTACTATAATTTCTTCTGTTCTATCAGTCATAGACATATTTATATTCATCCACAATGTATAGGTCAGGTCCCTTTACTGGGCATAAGAATTACAATTTATTTCAACTTTCCTCATCGCGCAATTTGGTAAATTGTATGCGGAGGAATTCTACTGGCTTACTTTCCATCTAATGATTATGAGTAACAGTTACAGGAGAACCTTGACCTCTTCTATCGTACGAGGAACAATATATCTTCTATCCTGGAAAAGTATGTTGAGCTTCATTGTTTCTCCTTCTAAATAGTTTATTGATGGTAGTGGCGACATTGGGTAAATGGTTTCTTCCAGTGACTTCCATTGCATTGTGCAGCATGAGAGATACGCCTGGTATAATGAGCCAGATGCCACCACTACCTGTATCCATTGATGAGGATCTTGCAAATACTATATTGCCCAATATTAGTCAGGTAATACAGAATCAATTTCTCTATGCAGTTTATACATATTTGAAATGTTAACCCTATGAATAGATTCCTCTCTACTTTATTTTTGGGGAAATGATTACTTATCTATTGGAATGCAGTTTGAATTGAAGTCTCGTGTTCTTCTCTGTTCAGTATATTCCAGTTCCTCTATCCCAGATTTTCTTGCATCTGCTTCATTTTATAGATATGCACTTAATTAACTTATCAGGTCAACTAGGTCAACTATTCATCTTTGCAAATACTTTGGGTATTCTCCTCAGAAGTGTCAAAAACTTGATTTGGTTTCAAAACTGACAAATTGGAGATCTTTGGTATAATCTCTTGCTGAGTAGTGGATTCTCGGGACTAATTTAATTTGTTTTTTGACATATTCAAGTCTAAGACTTTTGTGAATTTGTGAGATAAAAGGGTAGCAGTGCTCAGCCGCTTCTCTATATATTAGTAATGAGTCTAGGCAGTCAGTGAACTGATTGTGCTGTCAGGTTAGTCTGAACTGGTTCCATGTCGGGCGGGTGCTTCACTTTTATCATGCAATTGGCATATTTTTTAATAGGTCCTGGCATCAGCTCCATGCTGCCTAAAATTGTGTTATTACTACCTAATATTGTCCTGCCTGTTTGCTCTTCTTCCAGTCAATCATGTTTGGCTCGCATGGAAGGATCCCATTGAAGCAGGAGCCAAGGTGCTAAGGGGGGCTGATTGAAATTCAATTGCATATACAAGATTTGTGAAGTACAGAACAATTCTGCCGTATAACACAAGATGCTGTTGCTGAACATTCTTCCTTCTGTAGAGCTGAGCGTCTAGCAATTGCCAAAAAGTTCAGAGATCGCATTTTTGGAATTAGAACCTCCACCTCTCAAAATAGTGAAATCATAAGCATGACGATAGAAGCGCAGAACATGCGTTATCTACTTATCTTGAAAAAGGAGGTTTCTTGACAAAACTCCCTTTCCTCGGTGAAGCTCTAGTTTAAGTGCATTGTGTATAAATCATAGACATCTACTTTGTATTACTGTCTCAGTGCCTGATTGTAACTTATATCTAAGTCAATACTCAGGTTATGCCACCGATCTTATACATTGTCAGCATCCATGTTATGATTCTTCGATGTACTTTTGGAGCATTTGTGTTTTTATCACTCTCGTTTGGGTCGGTCAGAGCTCGTTCCACTTTGTAATGATGTACCGAAAGTCATTTTGACAATCTCCGAGCTCCGGGAAAATAAATTCTTTCGGAGGGACAGCGATGCGAGTCCTTGTTTTAATGTCTTCTGTAACTAAATTCTTCTGTATGATTCCCCAACTGTTTTCCACAACATTCTGCAGTGACATTAACATTCGATGTTGGTTTCTTTAGTTATCATAATTTCGATCCATTTCTTTGATAAAAGGCAGCTGATGAGAACCTTTTAGCTGAGTAAAGGGCAAGATATCAGCATCTGTGCTCTGACCAACCTTCTTTCTTGGTTACTTTCTGATATTCAGTATCTGGGTAAGGTCATAGATACCAGAGGAAGCTAAATGCCAAACGTTCTAAATCATCGTGTTGGTTAGATTATGAATTTTTCCGGCCAGAATACCGGTTTAATCGAGGCTGATTTGTTCAATTAGTCAAGTTGTTTCCTTCGAAATATCGGACGTTTCAAGTCGCTCTTGAACTCTAGGTACATCATGTCGAACGCGATTTCGCCATCTGCATCCCGCGTGGCTTCCTCACCGTTGTCTGTGACATAGGTGGCAAAATTCGACAACAATGTAGGATGAGATTCCTGTTTGGAGAGACTAACTTCATTAATTTCCTAATTTCAGAAGAAATTGGTTTTTCATGCCTTTAAATATTAATTCTCTGTTTCCCCCCTAAATTTCTATCTAATCAATCCATACAAGCAATCCCTCTTCCTACAACAATAGATAAGGGTTAATACATCGAAAAGCTCTAAACTGGTACACCTGTGACAAATTTATCAAAATTAATTTTTTGACCACAAAAAATCATAAATTGGTATATTTAAGACAAATTTACTCTTCATTAAATTGCATTAGTATCACCAAAAACCATAAACTAGTAAGCTTGTGACAAAAGAAAGGGTAAAATTTCAAACCGGTATACCTGTCAATTGCCACGTGTCATTCAACTTAGCAATTTAATGGTAAAATTTAACGGAGGGTAAATTTGTCACAAGTGTACCAGTTTGGAGTTTTTTAATGGTCAAACAATAAGTTTGTGGTAAATTTGTCATATCTGTACTAATTTGGGGCTTTTCGTGATATTGATCCTAGATAAAATGATGTTAGCCCGTCTAATATAAAACAGGAAAAAAAAAAAACATAAAGCTTTCTATGGTAGTTGTTAGTAGACATAAGCTTCCAATTGGAGCAAGACACATTCAACTAATTGAAATCAAATTTGACGAAAGGGGCTGCCTAAAATCCAAAATTCGCTGCCTTTCTCGATTCAAGATAAAGACAAAGAACATCCCTAACCAACTCAAAAAAAAAAAAACGTATACCTTGTCTTTTCGTTAATTCCGAATGTGCTAGTTTATTAAATTAATTAATAAATTAATCAGTTGAGTAGTTAATTAGCCTCCTTGGTTGTTACTGATGAATTGGACCTTCGGTTTGGCATCTCAAATTGCCCTTCAAAAGGGGCCATCGAAATGGCACTCTCTTCCAAACGGAAAATGGCCATAGCTACCCACTTATAATATAAAGAAATTGCACATACTTGTATGTTATAACTTAATCGAATTTGGAAGATTATGCGGAATGTCTTTAATAATCGATCCATTCCGGTCAAATCTCCAGCTCGATCACGGCGCTTATTTTAATCAAAGAGGATCCGATCTATGTCTAATTAGCCGCCTAATCGATCTCGATTAATTTTAAAGCTTCGCGTCGGAATAAAACAAACGCGATATCATAAGTTACTGAAAAACAAATGGTTTAGTCCGCTCGGGTGCACGAACTCTTCTGATCGATCGATGATGAGGACTTTGTCCCTGTCCTCGGACGGCATCACATTTTCAAATAGGTCTTGCGTTTTGTTGTCAATTTGGATTCTTTGACTTTTGTGATTGAGTTTGTCGCTTTTTTGTTGCGATTGCAAATATATTATCAATCTAGCATCCTTCCAATGCGGTTTCATAGATGAAGCAGTTTGAGCTTAATTATTTAACAGTTTATTTTGTCTCTTTGGTGCTTAACGAAGCGAATATTCGTGGTTTAATGGCTTCATAGAGGAAGGCCAACTAAACAAAAAAGAAATGGAACATTTATTATATCGAAAAATCAATCTTTGGTACCCTCCGCTCAATGAGAAAATGGGTCTAGAGTAGACGGATTGAAACTTATGGGGCTCAAGGAATGATGGAAGAGAATGAAAAACATAAATAAAACAAGAATAGCAATGAGAAAATGAAGCAGAGAAACCTAGATTTTCCATGAACAAATTCAAACTTGAAAAGGATCTTTCGAATTTTCAAAGAGTAAGGGACAAGGAGATCGATCAAGAAAGTTCTCTGGTTCTTATACATACACATATGAACAGTTTTTTTTCAAAAAGCGTTGCTCAAGACCATGAACTTGTGATCGGGGTTTAAATTAGAGGACGAAGTTCATAGTGCTATGAAGCACAAATGAAGCCCGGCCTAAATTCGTCCTTCGGCCAAAGGAACAAAGCAAAGCTAAAGTTTCCACCCCGTAAAGAACGGAATAGCAAAGTTAGGCCGATCATATGGGATCGGCCGGTCAAACACCCAAAAGGAGTACAAAAAGGGAGGTTTCCAAACAAAGGCACGTGATTCCCGAAACAGGGTTTTGCAAAATCAAATCGGAGCTTTGCAGTCTTATTCTAATGCTTGGGCGGCCACGGACCTTTCCAGAAATTCTGGTGTGAATGTCTGAAATTTTTTTTAAAAAAAATTAAAGGATGTTTTGAAAAGAAGGAAGAACGTGGAAAAATGAGAAACAGACCAGAAGAGTCTGCTGCGCGGCACCGTGTCGTGGAATCGAGTCTTCAATGATTTCGGGTCATGTCATGTGCCCCAAGAGGAGCACAATGCCTTTTTCCACTGTATAAACATGTGCATGTGATGTATACACTGTACTGTGCTGCTATATTATATATATAATTTTCTGGGCTCTAGCCCAAAAGCAATTCCCCCTTCTTTTTTTTTTTTTCTGGGTTTAGCAAATATATATGATTTTTTTGGTCATATTGCCTTTTCTAGTAAGTTTCCACATAGGGTTACACTTTGCCTTGTGCCACATTTGATTTGATAAGAAATGTGTGGAGGGGAGACATAGGAACCTTGAAAAGGAGATGCCATATGTTCAATGTTTCTTTGTTCTCGCGAAGGAAGACAATCGCATTGCATTAACGCAAAAAAAAAAAAGGCATAGCCAAACACCCTTTTTGCTTTGTGGGTTCGGAAGTGTGCGACTTTTTAACAGGAAAAAGAAAAGTCACAATAAACGCCTACTGTCTCTTTGTTCTATGTCCTTTTTTCTCCCTTAAGAAAATGACGAACGATTAAGAAAACATTCGTCGCGAATGGATCGCTAATAGTTGGGTGATTCATGTGCTGCCAGATACTAGAGAGTAACAATGCACGACCTGAAAGTCCTTTTCGACCGCACTTTGTGGCGTCATGGGCGCTGTAATCACGAAACTATATGACAAGTTTTTATAATTTCATCCTATCTTAGTCGGGCCGAATCCGGTCGGTCCTTCTTGGCTTCCGTGCCTAATCACACGACTGTGTACTTGTTTAAGTTGATAAATTCAACCGACGTTATGAAGTTTTCCGAATATGAAATCTACTGTCAATTCCCAAGCGCCCAAAAAACACTGTGCATGTTGTGTTGCCTAGCTTCTTAGAAAGTACCAAAAGCCAAAAAGGAGATCAAAGACATATTCGTGGAGGACAAAGGGGATCGACAGGGACAGAACAAATCAGAGTGCAGTTGAGTTCCAAGTCCAAAGCAAAAAGTCCATTGGGGGAAAAGCTCTTTTGGCACTTAATTGCCATTCGTCCACGCACGAAACGGGTCCCTGAAGACCATCGAATTCATGTCCTTTGGTAAAGAGTTAAAAAGATCTGATGTGGGTTTTTTGGATCCATTCCTTTTACCACCTAGCTCCGCCACTCTCCTAAAGTCTTTGAGAGTACCAGCTAGATTCACCCATGAAACTCAAATGGAGGAAGAGAAAAAAGAAAAAGAACGCACCGAGTGAAAGTTGGTGCATATGCAAAAAGAGAAAGTTGATTTATGGATCGAGTTGGTCCAACGTGACAGCATGACACCAACTTCACCTGCACCTTCTCGGGCGCGATTGATTTCATTCATCGCACCAAGGATTGGTACCCGAGTCCAGACAAGAATTTGGCTGCGAAAAAGCAATAAGATTTCTCCTCACTTTTCATAGGAGGCTTGACTTCCCAACCTTGGTTTTTTGGGGAGACCGAGTCTCTCTTTCTTTCTCTCTCTGATTGGAGACAACGGTGAGAGGGAACTGCTCTCATGCTGCCACCTGTCGCTACTCGGAGCTCCTCCCTTTATTCCCTCCGTCCCCCCCGCTTTTGTCCCCTTCTATTTGTGCTCTTCCGCTCCCCGTCCGCCTCCCTCCGCCTTATAAATACGCCTGACCACCGCTCAAACCACACTCTCTCCTCACACTCAGTTGCAGCGATGGGCTCGATCTCAGACCCGCCCCTTCTGACCAACTTCACCCAACTCCTCCGGAGATGCCACACCAACCCCTCCTCCTCTCCAATCAAGAATGTCAACATGGTACTCTGCTTAATATGTTTATCTTCATGCTGATTTGTAGAAGATTCTGCAATGCAACCATTCTGATTATTTGTTTTTTTTGATTTGTTACTTCAATAGATGCCCCAGGAGTGTGAGCTCCCGGTCATCGACCTGAGCGGGCTGAGCAGTGGATGTGAGGCGGAGAGAAGGTCGTGCGTGGAGGCCATATGCCGGGCCTCTGCGGAGTGGGGATTCTTCCAGGTGGTGAACCATGGGATCAGCAGCGAGCTGCTTGGGGAGATGAGGAGGGAGCAGGTGAAGTTGTTCGAGACGCCCTTCGAGACCAAGGCCCACTCCGCCCTCCTCAACAACTCCTACCGCTGGGGCACTCCCACTGCCACCTCCCCTGCCCAGTTCTCCTGGTCTGAGGCCTTCCATGTACCCCTCACCAAGATCTCTGACCCCTCTTGCTATGGCCAGTTCATCTCTCTCAGGGGAGTGATGATGGAGTTTGCCACCGCCATGTCTAGGCTGGCCAGGACGCTGGCGGGGGTCCTGGCGGAGAACCTCGGGCATCGGGGCGGCCGCGGCGCGTTCGACGAGATGTGCCACGAGAGCACGTGCTTCCTCCGGCTGAACCGCTACCCGGTGTGCCCGCTGTCGCCGGAGATGTTCGGGCTGGTGCCCCACACGGACAGCGACTTCCTGACCATTCTGTACCAGGACCAGGTGGGAGGCCTCCAGCTCCTCAAGGACTCCCGGTGGGTCGCCGTCAAGCCCAACCGAGACGCTCTCATCGTCAACATCGGAGACCTTCTTCAGGTAATAAAAAAAGAAAGCACAAAGTCAAAACAAATTGCCCAAGTCAATAGCGTCCCGGGCTCATCCTATCAATCCTCGTCCAATTCTTCAAATGCTCTGACTTTCGTGCCTTGAACGAGGACAATGATTAACGCGAGTATGAATCGGTCATCTTTCTGGGCAGGCGTGGAGCAACGACGTGTACAAGAGTGTGGAGCACAAGGTGATAACGAACGACAAGGTGGAGAGATACTCCGTTGCCTACTTCCTTTGCCCTTCGTACGACTCTCTGATCGGGAGTTGCAGAGAGCCCTCCGTCTACAGAAAGTTCACTTTTGGAGAATACCGGAAGCAAGTCCAAGAGGACGTCAAGAAAACAGGCCACAAAGCTGGTCTCCCACGTTTCAGGCTACAAACGAGTATATAAACACAGTTCATTCAATTGAAATATACGAAAGCCATCCTGTGGGGACCTCCATGGTTTATATACTAATACAGTTCTGAGAAATTATATTAGTTTATTGAAAAAGAAAAGAAGGAGAAGAATGAAGAGAAGAAAAGAGACGAGGAGATTCTTTTTAGGTGTCTTATGATGTATCTGTAAATCTATAGCATACCATCCATACTCTGCAGCCTTCAAACCAGCGAAAGAAGAAGGAGAGACACATCATGTATGAGTCAATATGGCCTTTGTACAAGATCTTTTTGACATACAACATTAGTACTTAACTGATGTCAAGCCTTTTTGACTCTCTCTCTCTCTCTCATTTGACCGCAAGTAGTGTTCTCTTGTCATTCATATCTCATATGTCATGCCAACCCTCAGAAGCTTATTCCTTGGGATCGCCATGATTTTCTCGCCTTGCCTGAAATTTTTCCTGAGAAAACTGTAGGCGTAGTCGATGATGATCTTCTTGCACAAGGATGAGTTCGGCTCGGCGACCACCTCGGCTTCCCCGAGGAGGTACACTGTGCCCATCTCCATTGCTTGCTGCACGATTTGCATCTCCTCTTCTGCCTCTAGGATTGCTGTCTCATCCTTGCGGTTGTCATCATGGCTCTTGGCCTCGAGGAAGAAATACTCATGCCGGATGAATTCCTTCAAGTTGTCCACCAATTGGCGCTCAAACTCATGTGGCTCCTCTCTCTTGTCCTTGTATCCGTACCGCACGACGCAGCGGAACATCCTGATACTCCTCGGTTCGACCTGCCTGAACAAGAATCGCTCCTCCAGCTCAACCTTGCTGATTGGGAGGTTCTTGATTGAGACAACGACTAGAACAGAGTGGATTGACGATATATTAGCCACAAAATGCGACAGTATAGGAGGAATGCCCTGCACGAGCTCAGAGTAGAGGAGGGCGATCCCGGGGACCCGGTTGATGCTTGGGTTTGCGGCAAGATCTCTGATGAACTCCGTTGAGACCTTGTTCTTGAGCTCGTACATGTACCGTTGCTTGTGGACGTATTGCCATATTATCATGACTGTCATAAGGACGGCTGCAAACACGAGTGACAGGAAACCGCCCTCTCTGAACTTGTAGAAGACTGACGAGAGATAGAACAATTCAATCGAGCCGAAGATGGTGAAGAAGAGCACTATCCACCATATGCTCGTCTTCCATATCACAACCATGATGAGAGTGACCATGCAAGTTGTGATCACCATGACGCTCACCACAGCAATTCCTGTAACCCAACTTTCAGGAAACAAATCAAATTATAAAAGCCACCAAATTAGGTCCAATTGGAAATTTTGTAGGGCGCAAAATTTTTAGACCGGTCCAAATTGATATAAAGTTATCCGAAGTTTTGAAAGGGAAGGCAATCAAATTGATTCATCAATGAGGTCTAATGATTTCGACTTACCGTATGCGTTGCCAATGTTGGTGGGTGTCTGGAAGCAGGCGGTGACCATTACGCAGGCGAACATGAGCATGTAGTTCACCTCCGGTATGTAAACCTGGCCCTCGTACTTGGCCGACGTGTGAACCACCTTGACCCTCGGGAAACAGCCCAAGGTCAGAGACTGCGAGATGATGGCGAACGTCCCTGAGATCATTGCCTGGCTGGCAATGATCGCCGCGGCGACAGCCACCACAAACATCGGCCAGTACAATGGTCCTGCTCATCGATCAATAGGAGTCATGAAACATTATCAAACATAGCCTCATTTGTACTGCAGGCCTAAGGCCTCATAATCTTTCGTGAGCTCATCCAATACATCGCAGACGATTTACCTTTGGGAGCCTAATTCGGGTTAATTTTCTAAGTCTTGATTATGGCAATCATACTAATTAATTTTCTTTGCTAGATTATCTTTTATGAAATTCAAATGAGGTGTTTTATTTTAATTTTACATACCAGGGATTGAGTCATAGAAAGTGTTGGCAACATTGCCAGGGTGCTTCATGAGATAAGCTGCTTGTCCACTATATGCGATCAGAAGTGCAGGAAATATGAGGCAAGAGAAGCTGATCTGCATCAATTGTACTCGCCATTAAATAAACCCAACAGTGGGAACACACGTTACTAGCCGTGTAAGTAGTCCATAGGACGTAAATACTTCGCCCGACAATCGTCTATATAAGAAAAGGTTCAGTTGAAACTTTGAGTTATGTGGTCCATGAAAGAGAGAAAACTCAGCAAAATTATGGACGGAGCTGTAGTTCACACCACGCATATTTAGAGTTCGAAAATATGCCGGGTTTGTAAGGAGAGATTTACAGATATTGTGCGTTTGGATCAGAACCATGAAATCGGTGCGCAAGATTTAGAAACACGCACGCTTTTGTTCATTACAAAAACTAGGTGATATATATCTACTTACTTGGATTGCTCGAACATTGAAATGACCCAGATCAGCAAACATGGCCTCAGTTCCTGATTCAATTGAAACGTTCATATCATTGTGCTTGAGACTTTTACCTACTTGTATACCAAAAAAGCACACACAAGCATGATCACACGGACCTGTAATGCAAAGGAAGATGCCGCCGAGCGAGACCCAGGCTTGCTTGCCGTTGCGGTTGAAATAGTCGACGATGTACTTAGGGTTGAAGGCACGCAACACACTGATGTCGTACTTGAACAGGTTGAAGACCCCGATCCCGATAATGAATGTGAACCAGACAAAAATGATGGGCGCAAATGAGAACCCAACCCGGTCCGTCCCGAACCTCTGGACGAAGAAAAGGAGTATCAGGATCACCACCGATATCACCACCACCGCATCTGCATGTCCATACATAAACATACGCGTGAAATAAAGAATTAGCACTTACGTGTGAAATAAAGAAGAGTTATAAATGGATCTTTGAAGCATATTTGTCTAATCAATTTGCTAATAATTACGCATTGAATTCTTACCTTTGCCCAGTGACTTGATCCCGCTCACTGCTGAAAGAACTGCCAGAAGCCAACATGAAAAAAAAAGAACCAGAGAGGTCTTCTTAGCTTCCAAGATGCAAAAAGTATTTCTATTTCTAACTCGATGATATCTTGATGTCGCATGAAGCATTGAAGGATAGACCATCTTAAGTGAGATGCGACATTGTAGGTCCACCCAGGTTTGGAATTCAAGAATAATAGAGGTGTTTCCTGGCTAGTAGATTAATAGCGAGAAAGGATGGGCGATTTTAACCTGAAATGGATGGAGTGAGAACACCGTCGCCGATGACCATGGAAGTGCCCATGATGGTGACAAGAAAGAGCACGATCTGGGCGGTCTTGCTGTTCTCCAGCATATGCTTGATCTTCTGAGTTCGTCGCAACTGCTTTGATGGAGTGTCGAGCTCGTAGTTCGAAACTTCTCGATCCTCGGGCTGGTGATTCGGTATCAGACTCACCTTTGCATACCTACATATCAGCGTGTACAATGCGAACGTCCCTCCTGAAAGCAAGCACGGTGCACCCGAGTTAGAATTGTGAAAATCATGTCATTGGTCGCCACCATAAAAAAAGAAAAAGCTAATAGCAAGAGATTGGCACGTGAACCTGCAAAAAAATAGTCACCTACAGTATCCTGATAATCCTACTATGTGAAGCACAATAGAGGTTCGACAAAAAATAAGAACAATAGAGGTATACATGCGTACCGTCGCCATTGTCATTGGCAAAGAGGACGATGAAGACGTACTTAAGCAAGGGGACAAGGGCAATCGTGTAGATGATTAGCGACAGAACCCCGATAATGTCGTGAGTGTCCTTAATTCCCTCCGTGAATGTACTCGAGTACACGTAGAGTGGAGACGTCCCTATGTCACCATACACCACTCCAATGCTCTGAAATGCCAAACTCAATGTCCTTTGCCAATTCACCTGTAAATCAATTATTTCATCGGTTTAATGAAAAATGCTCGGTTATTCCGGGGGGAAAAAGGATTATCCCTGAAGTCAACGGTAAAAAGTAGATTCAATTTATCAAGGGTAGCATATGATGATCACGTCACGTAAGACTTGAATTGCAAAATCTGTTAGTATACGCGTTATTTCTCAACAATTGCAATCAGATTTAAAGTTAGGGTTTCCAGAGTTGATTTAGAGGTTTAGCACATCTGGTCTCTATTTGGAAACCTTGTGTTTGCAATTATATCTAGAGCAAGAGTTGAAATTGAGAAGTTTAACGGGAGGAACAACTTTGAGTGGTGAAGAATTAAGATGCGTGCCCTGTTAACAACCCAAATTTTGATAAAAGAAAGAGAGCTCACTCTTTACTCTTCAATGCTAGATTAGGTAAAAATTTCTAGGCCGAAGTAGTGAATTCTTCTTGCTGGTTAGTGAATAAATCACCATCATCATCAATTGATTGGAAATTTCTTGAGGAAACTTGGTCAGGTAAGCTTGCTAATTACACTGAACTCAGAGTGTTCGATTGCCCTGCTTATGTTGTGTGAGTGATGGTGAATCCGATGGTAAGGAGATTGATGTTCCCTGGTTATTTGCATAGGGTGAAGGAAGATAGGTTGTGGTTTATTGAGGAAGAATCACCCGAGCTTATATTCACAGAGACGTTACCTTTGACAAATTTGCTCATTTTCATAAGAGGAGTGAGAGATTAATTGTAGAGAAAGATTTGGATGATATTAAAAAACAAGAGGAGCTTCAAAGAGAGCCTAGAGGTGTTTAGAGTACGGTAGATGTGACATTGTTTGCAAAGTTGCTGCTTTCGAAAGTTAGAGGTCCCACTTAATGAAGCTTCAAGGTGGTTAGCGAAGTTGGATGAGATAGAGGGCTAGTTGCAAACAAATACTGATTTAGAAACTTGGGTGCACTAGATATAGTTTCGAGTTTGGAGACGTAGAGAGTGAAGAGCGCTGAAATGTTGCGAGCGACTTGTAAAAGTTATTTCAAAAAAGCATTGATATGCTTCAACATGCGATTGAAAATTATGTAAGTACCACACGTGCTACCTATCATAAATTGTTTAGATTGTCACTGTGTACTTGGATGGAGGTGGACCACTTATCCCATGCTTCACCTGCTATTACCATCAGTTATGTAAGTCATGTCACGGATAGTAATGGGCTTGATCTTTCACGTGCTATTAAGAGAATATTTACAGTTAGTCTAGGTGAATATTGTGATGCTGTAAAGTGGATCCTACTAATTTTGTTGGAGACAACAAGTGTTGGGTATGTTTCAGAGGATGCAGTTTAAGTAGGGTGGCAGTAATTAAATTTGCGAACTCCAGGGTCATGTAGGGAATTTGAAAGATGGTCGATTTTCAAGCAATTATGCCTTTACTTCTAATAGTTAAGTTGTTAGTTGGAAGACGTCATTGAGAGAAATGACGATTTTGGGACGATTGAGGTTGAAAACACAGTGATAATAAAAGTAGCTGAAGAGGTGGTGCGGTCAAATGACTTAGTTATCGATGTTGGCGTGGGACATCGGATTGATGTGGTGGTCTATGGAAGCTAGAGATATCAATGGAGAATTGAGTTAATTGGTGATCGATATTTCAGCATAAGAAATCACATGTCAGGAGAGGATATGACACTGAAGAAACTTCTTGTAACGGAGAATTCTGAGGATGTGTGGACTAAGTTCATTCCTCTAAATAAGTCCGAGCTCAGCTTGGGCTTGATAGATGTCTGCAATGGTTGAGAGCCCGTCCAGACATTGAGAGAGTCGATACGGGTGTTAAGATTATATCTCAAGTTTAAGTCCGTGAAGGAAACTCATCTAGGTAGAAGTTCCAAATCCAAAAAGGACTTGTGGTTTTTTGTTTGAACAAGTAAGGACTTATTGAAATAGTTTCCGCATTGGAGCTGGATTGAGAGATTTTATTAGTGTGTTTTGGTTTGGTGTAATCTAGCACTAAGAAACACTCGAGGGATTGTGTAAGCTCTGCAACTCGCCGGATTCATAATGAATTTCTTGGCGGTTGGCTTCCCTCGTGAAGTAGGTACTAACACTTAAGCCTAACTACATTGCGTCGTTCCTTGTTGATTTCTCCAATAATTTTTCTTCTTGCATTGGACTTGAATTACAATATTCGTTACCTTCTATCTTATTTCACAACCTATGACGGACATATAAAGGTGATCGAACTCGTTGCAGTCTCAAGAAACATGTGGGACTCGCATATGTTATGGGAGTCCTCTCAGTCTTTTTACTATTTTCGATCAACGTGATTCAATGACCATTCAAAGGTGCATCCTAGGAAATCACAGGCATTCATATTTCAAGAAAGACGGACGGAAGAACGCAACGCGATGTTTTCTTGAAATCCAGGAATATCAAACAAAGAAAAGGAATTACTTAGCTGACGAAAAATACGGCTACATGCAAAATATGCAATACGCACCTTGGATGAGTGGGCGTGGGACATGGAGACTCGACCGGCCTCCACGTTGAGGGAGTCGGAGTGACCCAGTTTCGCCCATGAGACATTTCGCTCCTTCATGTTCCGCTTCGCATCGTTCTCCGCCTCCTTCGCTTCCGCTGCGATCTCCGATTCTTCTTCTTCCTCATGCATCACCGCCAACTTCTCCTCCGTCATTGATGCTCTTTGCTGAACTTTCTTTCTGTGTCTTTCTTCAATGTCAAGCGATGACTCCGCTCTTTACAGGGCCTCGAGAGAGTCCAGACGTTTCAAACTGAATATTCCGCCAGAACAAACCGTGCCATATGTTCGATGATTTCACACAATGTTAGAAAGACGTGTTTGGTTCGCGGGACTAAGCTTCATCGGTCGGTTTGGTGAGTCGCGCGCTTTTGTCGCTTTTCTACAAGTTTTATCTGTGTAGCACCTGTCTTAACTAATTAATTATGTGCTGGCCCCAATAATCGTGGTGTGTCCTGAACAAACTATTTCTTTTTTCTTTCCTCCTTTTCTTTGTCAATTTTTTTTAGTGGTTGAATCACACACACACACACACACACACACACACATATATAGGGTTTAGGGTCTATACACACACCTGCACACACACATTGTAATATCTTCTTGTTCATTTGTGGTTTCATTAGAGAAAAAAGTTCAATTAGTCGAGAGGCGATGTCAAGTGAACAACATGTCATTAAATTTTAAAATACAATCCTTGGCATATGACTTTGCCAAATTGTATTGCGTGTTCGATTATGACCCTCCTTGGATGTCGATTCATTATTCAAGCATTCGGTTTGAACGCGACGGATCTTGTTTTCAAGTCACACCTTCTCGATTTAGAGACCTTCGAGATCATTCTCATCACTTTAATGTGGAGTCTTACCTAATGTAAGTTAATGAGGCTTATCTGCATGCATAGGTGAGGAAGTGAGGATTAATGCAGTTGAAAAGATATACGGTGGAATCGCAATACTGTTTTGTTATATAATTCCCTAAACCAATCACTATATCTTTGACAAGGCTCAACATTATTCAAAGTGCAAAATTACTTTTGTCTAGCAATTCGTTTTTCATTGGGAAATGCCGTAAAAACTCCCGGCACTTTTTGGACGGTGCACGTTTACCCCCCTAACTTTCGATCGTTACACAAGATCTCCCTTGGAATTTCACTTTGTTTCAACCATCAACCCTTTGTCTATTTTTAAATTTGCACATACCTAACATGTTATTTTTCAAAGGTAAAACCATAGTTTTTGTGAGGTCTTCCATGTCCCCCTCAACAAAATCTCTGAGCCCTCCTCCGATGGCCAGTTCATCTCTCTTGGGTACCGTGCCTCCCTTCTCATCTCATCTAATCTTAATCTAATACAACCCATCACTTAAGGAAATCTGGGTGGAAACGAACTTAACAGGAGGCGATGACGGAGTTTGTGGCGACGATGTCGAGGCTAGCGAGGGTGTTGGCGGGTTCTTAACGGAGAAACCGGGCCGTCGGGGCGGCGGTGTTTCGACGAGAGCACGTGCTTCCTCCGGCTGAACCACTACCTGGCATTCCGGCTCTCGCCGTAGATGTCCGGGTTGGTGCCCAGCATAAACAGCGAGGTTCTGACCGTTCTCTGCCAGGACTAGGTCGGAGGCCGTCAGTTCCTCAAGGGCTCTCGATGGATTGCTCACGCCCAATCAAGATGCTCTCATTGCCAACATCAGAGACCTTCTTCAGGTAAAACAAAGAATGAACGCACAAACATTGTGGTGTACCGTACAACATTATGGTGTATTGTCATAATTAAGTATAAAAATGTCATAACATGTTGTAACATTGATTTATGACATTAGAACGAACTGTCGTAAACAAGTTTAAAACAGTCCTACAAAAAGTTGGAATACGATGTACTAATATACCTTAGAAATTCCCGTTTTCGTTTGGGTTAAGCCTCTTTGTACTTGACTTGCATTAACGGGGTGAGCTTGAATGGTGTTAGCTCAAACCCTGCTAGGCCGACCCAAACCGATTAAGAGCTACTTACTTTGACTCACTCAACCTCAAGAAATTTTTGCTTCCGATTGGCCCGATCCCGAGGGGCTCGAAAGCAATGTCTATATGCCCAATCTGAACCAAAAAAAAAAAAAAATTTGGAGACGGGTTCATCCAAGCAATGCTCATTCAATTCTTCAATGCTCTGACTTTTCTCGTGTTTTGAATGAGGACAATGATCAACTCGGGTATGAATTGCCCCTTTTTTTGGCAGGCGTGGAGCAATGACGTGCACAAGAGTGTGGAGCACAGCCCTTTGTATGACTAATCGGGAGTTGCGTAGAGCCCCCTGTTTGTCACTCAAAAGCAGTTGAAGGCGTAATTTAATATTTTAATACTCTAACAATATCTCTCACACGTACGCTAGACGTTGGCCTAAGTCCTTGAAATATTTAAACTCAGGACCTTCCGCACTGCTGCCATGTGAGATTTTCTGGGATCACTGCCAAGTGCCGACTGTTTTAAATGTTTAAGCAAAGTGGGTGGAAAGAGACCACATATATACAAAAAGCGTATAAATCTCATTGCGAAGTAGGAATGTCTTATGGTGAATCTGTATATCTGTGGCCAACCATTCATACTTTGCGGCCTTCAAACCAGTAAAAGAAGAAAGAGAGTGTCACGCCCCGTACCCCACGAAGCGCGAGCATCCCATCTCCGGTCGTTTGTGATGCAACGCTCTCAGGATGCGTCGCCGACCCAACGCCCAATCAGAGATAAGTCACATGCGGAAACAACGTATATAAATATATATATATACACCCGTACAAAAACAACACACGTGAGACCAAGGTAGAACAGCCATCAAACAAGAATATACACTTGTATTGTTATAGTAAAACCTTTTTACACTATCCATTTGTACAACTCCAAAAATCTCAACATCAGTATTTAACTGCCACTATATCAAAAAGGGTAAGTGGCACAGGTGGTTAGGCTAACTAGGATATGAATGCTATTCAAAAAGAGACGGTCTTCGCTTCCCAGGGTACCGGCCTGCTCTAGGGCTCCCAGTCAGGGTCGAACGACTCGGTAGAATCATCTGGCAACTCCTCGGAGGCATCTTTACGGCTGGGGGTCTGAAAAGTTTCAGTTTACACAACCGTGAGACGAATCTCAGTGAGTTCAACCCCTAAATCTAGGCTAGGCTAGCATGCAATCTCCTGACCGGAAATAAATATTTGAAACCATAATGCAACAACAATCAAATAATTCTCTGACCCTGCAGGTTAGGCAGTTCAATATATAATAATCACGGCACGTACGTGGCACACATTATCACACGTACGCCAATCACATGCTCATGCACCGAGTCTCACACACTCGCATGCCAATCCATGCATGTTCATGCATGCAAATGTCGTCGACATGTCACGTATATTTCCCGGCTCACTGGCCCCCACTGGCACACTAGCAATCGCCCAATTTATTATTTATTACGACTCGAGTCAACAACATTCACGGCCCGGTGCGTCTAGCCTGCTTCAAAGTGCATGAGGCGCAGCAACCGATCTGGCCCAGTGTCTCTAGCCTGCTTCAAAGTGCATGAGGCGCAACACCGATCTCCTTACGAACCAGAGCCTGCTTCAAAGTGCATGAGGATGGTCGTCTTCCGGACGTACCGGGCATCGTCCTGCTTCAAAGTGCATGAGGACGGTATCGACCCAAAGGTCATGACCCAAAGGTCCTTAGGTGATCACACAACCAATTATTATCTGAACCCAGCGTAAAATGCTTCAGGGTATTTTAGGTGATCACATGCTCATGGCAGGCACGCATTCTCGCACAATTTCATCGCATGCCTCACTCTTGGCATACACAATGCGTGTCCATGTTATGCAATGCAATGCACCATGAGCGCCAATATAATTCAAACATTCAATATCACAACACGTGCTCAATTGACCCAATTAATACTGTGTGGCCTAACGTGCGAATCACAAATCAACAATTAATTTCAAACCAATCATTGGCCAATCGCACTCCACATAATTCAACCACATGACATGTGACATGGCAGTACGAAGTCAATCACAATTAAGCACAAATTACGTACAACCAGTCAACCCGGACATACCCGGTAATTTTCCAATGGGCTCCTAAATTGGTCATTTAATCCAATTAATCTCCCCAAATAATTCTCATTAATCCACTAAATTTTCCCAATAATAATTTCTACCAATCAGTCCTCATCCCAGTATGAAATATACACTGATACTACCTAAGCCAGTCCAAAAATGCACCGATAATACCTAAACCAGTCCAGAAAAACGCACTATCAGTCCTAATCCGGGTTTAGGAATTTTACTCACTTAATCCAAGGTCACGACGACGGGGAACGGCGGCTGATCACTGGTGAATAGTGAAACTGGCAGCGGAATTCCCGGCGACGGCGTACGGACGCGTGAACAGTGACCGTACGGACGGCGGTGAACAGTACCGACCGTACGAGACACTGTACGGACAGGTACGGTCGGCGTCGTGCAGCGTGACTGGACGGCTGGGTGGCGACGGAACGGCGATCCAAGCTCCGGCGAAGCTCCGGCGACCCTATTTGCCGGACGGAAAAGAGAGAAAAAGAGGAAGAAAGAGAGAGAAATAGAGAGAGAAAGGGGTCAGACAGAGGCGAGGTTGAGGCTAGGGACCGAGGTGGTCCACGGTGGGGCACGGCTGCTGGCGGCGGCGCTCCGATGGCCGGCGGTGAGCTTCGGCGAGGCAAACCGAGAGAGAAAAAGAGAGAAAGAGAGGGAGAAAGCTGCTGGTGGGGGCTGATCTGTGGTGTTTCTGCCGAATGAGGGGGAGAGGAGAGAGAAAGAGTGGTCAGCTGGTCAAATAGTGGGGGCTAGGGGCGCCAAGTGTTGCCGATCCGCACGATTTGACCAAAACGCCCCTAATCTAACGGTTCTAAATAATCCTATCCAAATAATTGAGGGATAAAAGGGTAAATAAGGCCAATAATGCAACTGATAATCCATATTTAATTACCCCAAAATTTTCCCAAAATTCGGAACTGAAAACGGCCCAGGGGCAAAATGGTCATTTTTTCGGTCCCGGGGCGAAATTCCAATTTTCGCCCGTACCAACCCTCCATGTGCGTGGCCAACATAATATGGCGTCGGAATCGCGAAAACAGCCCTTTAAGCCCTCGAAAATTGACTGCAAAGTTTCGCGAATAAAATAATATTATTTTTCCAATTTCTGTCAAAATTCCAATTTTTGGACATAACGGCTCCTGGTATGCGTGGCCACCCAAAAATGGCGTCGGCCTTGAAAATTAACCTCAGACGGCCTCAGAATCAACGCTGGCGTCCCAAGGGGCAAAATCGTAATTTTTTACCCCCGGACCGAAATTCCAATTTTTAACCATTCTAACTCAAAATATGCGTGGCCAGCATAATATGCCGTCAGATTCCCAAAAATAGTCTCTTAAGCCATCGAAAATCAACATCGAAATCCCGGCCCAATTTCGTGATCAAAACTCGCTCGATTTCCAATTTCAGGTTCTCTCACTAACGGGCGGCTGTCTAGAGGTTACGCGTATCGACCTAGGGTTATTCGAGTCGTGACGGTCCTAATCATTGAGAGAATGAAAAATTATCACTAGTCCTAGAGGTCACGATCGTTCGGTTTAAATTCAGGACTGGTTGACCACGTGTACTCTCGGTCGTGCAGAATCACCTGCGATCTGATTGTACATCGTTGGCCTTGGCCAAACCAAGTCCATTACCTTTCCTAAGATCGATCCACATTGGTTCATAATATTCTCTCATCATTTCTCGTGATCGGTGTCCGCTTCGCGATCGGGTCCTTGGTCCACGTACCGCTTTCTAATTAGCCATACCTTATTGGTTAGTATCCCAAGAGTGATCAGCTCTGGGTGAGACTTACTAAAATGAAATGCGAAATATTGTCAATTTTATTGATCCCGGAATTACATCGAAATTCGGGCTGTTACATAGAGGCATATCATGTCAATATGGCCTTTGTATAAAATCTTTTTGACATACAACGTTAGTACTTAGCTGATGTCAAGCCTTCTTTCATGATCGTCCAATGAACCGGGCAGGCTCGGCTCTAAGCCTTTGGAGAAAACAATCATAGACTTCTGCGTAATCTGGCCTACCTAAAACGCATTTTCCAAGCTTTCTCATGACTAACTAAACAATCTTCAGGAATTGCTATTATCTTTTCAAAAGAAAAGGTTGGGACCGGGGAGGCCGAATAGGTACGGTCAATTCGTAAAGTGAACCACAAGGCCTACCCATCTAATAAAAGTTACACTCAAGCTCGGCCTGCCTATGAAGACGGATGGATGACCGTCCCTGAACATTAGTGTATATGGTAAGTTCACTAACTGAATTGTCTTGTTGAATGCAAAAGGAAAGGTAATTCACAACTACGTGGCAAGAACATTCATCGATAGACACACAGGCGGTATATATCAAAACTTCTGTTGTATTAAAAAAAGCCATTAGTTATGAAACATGGCCGTGCTGTTTCACCCATTAAAAGTCGCTAAATTTTATTTGACCACAACTAGTGCCCTCTTTTCATTCATATCTCATATGTCATACCAACCCTCAGAAGCCTGTTCCTTGGGATCGCCATGATTTTCTCGCCTTGCCTGAAATTTTTCCTGAGAAAACTGTAGACGTAGTTGACCACGATCTTCTTCAACGTGGACGACTTCGGCTCCGCGACCACATCAGCTTCCCCGAGGAGGTACACCACTCCCCTATCCATCGCTTTCTGCACAAATTGCATCTCCTCTTCGGCCACTTGGGTCGGATCGAACACAATTCCATTGGAAGAATTTGTTGACTTGGCCGCATTAAATGATTGGATAGAATTGCCGGAGAGATTGGATGGGTTTTGCTGCAGTAGCGACTCCTGCATAATGCTTGATCCCTTGGCCCGTCCATCTTCTGCTAGCAGTGTCGAATGTGGTACATCGTTGTTGGTTGTCACATCCTTTTGGATGTGATCATTGTTCTCAGCCTCAAGGAAGATGTACTCCTGCCGGATGAATTCCTTCAAGTTGTCCACCAATTGGCGCTCGAACTCGTGCGGCTCCTCGATCTTGTCGTTGTATCCATACCGGACGATGCAGCGGAACATTCTGAAGCCCCTCGGCTTGACCTGCCTGAACAAGAACCGCTCCTCTAGCGCGACCTTGCTGATCGGGAGGTTCTTGATTGAGACAAGGACTATTATTGAATGGATAGACGAAATATTTGCCACAAAATGTGATAATATTGGAGGAATCCCCTGCACGAGCTCGGAATAGAGGAAGGCAACCCCGGGGACCCGATTGATGCTTGGGTTCGTGGCGAGATCTCTGATGAACTCAGCCGAGACCTTGTTCTTGAGCTCATACATGTACCGTTGCTTGTGGACGTAGTGCCAGATAATCATGATGGTCATGAGAAAGGCAGCAAACACAAGCGGTAGGAAACCGCCCTCTATGAACTTGTAGAGGACCGACGAGAGATAGATCAGTTCGATTGAGCCGAAGATGGTGACGAAGAGCACGATCCACCATATGCTCGTCTTCCATATAACAAGCATGACGAGAGTGAGCAGGCAAGTGGTGATCACCATAACGCTCACCACAGCTATTCCTGCAACCAAAAGTTCAGGAGACAAATTAAATTATGAAAGCCACCAAATTTGGTCCCATCAGAATATTTTGAGGGTGCAAATTTTCAAGCCGGTCCAGATTAGTATACAGTTATTAGAAGTTTCAAACGGAAAGTAAATGTAATTAAATCATCAGTGAAGCCTAGCAATTTGCACTTACCGTAAGCGTTGCCGATGTTGGTTGTGGTCTGGAAGCCAGCAGTGACCAAGACGCTAGCAACCATGAGCATGTAGTTCACCTCCGGTATGTAAACCTGGCCCTCGTACTTGGCGGACGTGTGAATCACCTTGACCCTCGGGAAGCAGCCCAAGGCCAGCGACTGCGAGATGATGGCATATGCACCCGAGATCATTGCCTGGCTCGCAATGATTGCCGCGGCGACTGCCACCACGAACATCGGCCAGTACAATGGATCTGCTCATAGATCAACAGGAGTCGCGAAACGTTATCAAACATAGGTTCATTTGTACTGCCGGCATGAAGCCTTGTAAACATCTAGGGCTCATCCTAAGAATCACGTACATTTTACGTTGAGAGCATAGTTTAGGTCAATTTTCTAGGTATTGATCTTGCTTTCTTTGCTAGATTGAATCGATTATAAAATTCAAACAAGGTGTTGTATTTGAATTTTACATACCTGGGATTGAGTCATAGAAAGTGTTGGCAACATGGTCAGGGTGCTTCATGAGATAAGCTGCTTGTCCACTATATGCGGTCAACAGTGCAGGAAATACGAGGCAAGAGAAGCTGATCTGCATGAATTGTACACCCACATAAAATCGTCAACGGAAATTGTGGGAAAAGCACAAAGTGATGTATGACGGTTTTAATTCTTTCAGTTTACTTATGGTTTTGTTCTTGGCATCATTTCCTCAATGGACGGAGACTTGGAGACGAGGAGAAAAAAAAAGAATAAATAAAACACAATTAATAAAATAAATGTTCCTAAAGAAGTCAAGAACAGCTTCCTTCTGTTGAAAGCTAACGCAAAGGAAATTGCATCTACTTACTTGGATTGCTCGAACATTGAAGTGACCCAGATCGGCAAACATGGCCTCAGTGCCTGATTTCAATTGAATCATCCATATCAATGAGCTTAAAGCTTTGACCTACTTGTTCACCAAAAGAGCACATGCAAGAATACACACGGACCTGTAATGCAGAGGACGACGCCGCCGAGCGAGACCCAGGCATTTTTGCCATTGCGGTGGAAGTAGTTGACGATGTACTTAGGGTTGAAGGCACGCAACACACCAATGTCGTACTTGAGCAGGTTGAAGAGGCCGATCCCACTGATGAACGTGAACCAGACGAAGACGATGGGGGCGAACGTGAACCCAACCCGGTCTGTCCCATACTTCTGGACGCTGAAAAGGATTATCAAGATCCCCACCGATATCCCCACCATCGCAGCTGCAAGTACATAAGTTGGATATACTTTTACTGATGAGCTAGTATTTGCGTGTGCCACAAGGAAGAGAGTTATATATAGATTTTAGAAGCATATTTGTATTATCAATTTGCTAATAATTAAGCTTTGTATTTACCTTTGCCCAGTGACTTGATCCCGCTCACTGCTGAAAGAACTACAGGAACGCAAAAGAAATCAATATTTTTATTTATTTAATTGTGTAAAATGGATTAACACGAACTTTCAACATGATTAATCTTAGGGGTAAGCTGAGCAGCACCCAATAAAGAGCAATTGATAGCATGTCGGCAAGCCCATCTTTGTTTGAGGATGATATTATGTGTTTCCGAAAGGCACATCTTGAGGCAGTACGTGATGTATGTTCTACATATATGAAGACACTTTCTCCTTCATGAGGATGAAGCAGACTCTATTCTCACATGATGTTTCTTGGTGCTTGCCTCTAACACGACTTTTATGAAATTATTGGTTTTCACTATATTAAAGTCTCTATCAGAAGATAGGCAAAAGAATTCTATCATGTTAAACTTTTTTTAACTATGAGAACATGAAAACAAAAAAATTACCAAACATCTGTTGTGCCGTATGTAAATCGTATGTGGGTAACCACTAAAGAGTGTACAAGCAAAATTTCTTTGAATTGAAATGAACCATCTTAGGTGAGTTGCCATTGTTATTGGTACCCTCAAGTGCAAAAGACAGAGCTGTTTCCTGGCTAGCTGTACTTGAAGAATTCTTCGAAAGGGTTGTGATAGATAAATAGCGAGAAAATATGGCGATTTAAACCTGAAATGGATGGGGTGAGAACACCGTCACCAATGACCATCGAAGTGCCCATGATGGTGACAAGAAAGAGAACGATCTGGGCGGTCTTGCTGTTCTCGAGCATTTCCTTGATCTTCTGAGCCCGTTGCACCTGCTTCGACGGAGTGTGGAGCTTGTAATTCGAAACTTCTTCGTCCTCCGGTTGGTGATTCGGGATCAAGCTCACCTTTGCATACCTGCACATCAGAGAGTACAATGCGAACGTTCCTCCTGCAGGCACATGAGTCAGAATTCAGAAAATCAAGTCACCTACATCTACATAAAATGGTCATGTACATTATCCCGATAATCCGGGTATGTATGTGAAGCACAGTAAAGGTAGACGTGCGCACCGTCGCCGTTGTCATTGGCTAAGAGAACGATGAAGACGTACTTGAGCAAGGGGACAAGGGCAATTGTATAGATAATTAGCGACAAAACCCCAAGAATATCCTTAGTGTCCTTAATTCCCTCTGTGAACGTACTCGCGTACACGTACAGTGGAGACGTCCCTATGTCGCCGTACACCACTCCTATGCTCTGAAATGCCAAACTCATCGTCATTTGCCAATTCACCTGTAAATCATTCATTTCATCAATTCAATCACAAAAACAAATATATCCAGTTATTCGAGGGGAAATTAGATTTTTACAAAGCCCATCAACATTAATTCGATTTATCGTGGGTAGCTGATAATGATCATGTCCCGTAGTGAACCGTGTCCGTAAAAGCTTATTTACTTCAGTATCATTTGTATTTCATGATCTGGTAAAAGATAATGGAGAAATTACTATGGAAAACGATTCTATGACAAGCATATACAAGAAATCTACTTCACTGCAATTTTACAAATACATGTGCGACACACATCTTTTCTAAGAATCCTCCCACTGTCTTCCGATCGATACGATTCAAGAATCGTTCAAAAGTTCATCCTCGTAAATCCCGGCCGTCCACGATTTCAAGAAAGACGGAACGAAGAACTGTATGCTATGTTTTCTTATGACAAAGGAAGAAAAGGAATTGACAAGCCGATGCAAAACATGCATGGCCACATGTGAAATTTGCAATAAGCACCTTGGAGGAGTGGGCGTGGGACTTGGAGACTCGACCCGCCTCCAGGTTGAGAGAGTCGATGTGCCGCAGTCTCGCCCACGAGACCTTTCGCTCCTTCATGTTCAGCTTGGTCTTGTTCTCCGATTCTTCTTCTTCCTTCTCCGCCATAAGTGATGACTCCACTCTTTCCAGGGCCTCGAGAGTCAAGACTTTTGCGTCAAATTCTTCTGCTGGACAAATCGTGCGGAAGTGTTTGATGAATGTTTGTTTATGTCGAGAATTTGACGCAGACGTGCTTGTTTTGCGTACAGGTTTAGTATGACAATAAATTTTCTCTTCAAGGTAAATGAATAGGTTTCATCGATAAAATTTGGTAAGTCCAGCACGCGTTTTTGTTGCGGATGTCTCCCTAATTATTGTATTGCGGATGGACAACAATATGTATGACATTATTTTCCTAATCAATGCATTGTGGATAGACATCAACAATATGAGCTTATCTCCCTAATCAACGCACCTGGATATATTTCCTTGGTTGCATAAATATGAGATTATCTCCTTAATTAAGCAATAGAAGATCATGGTATATATAATTTAAGCAACAAACTCGCCGAGGACATTCAGAAAGGAAAGGGATTTTGTGGTCCAAACGGCACCGTAGGGAGATATTCTCATATTTATTGCTGTATACCCACGATGCATGTTGCCATATATAATTTCGAGATTCATGGATTGGCCGACAGACCTGGCTAGTCTTTAAAGTTTCATCGTGATGGGGATAGATCATTGTAATTGTTGGTCTTCAACGAGAAATTTCTAGTAAGTGTGAGTCACCAGCTCGCGTAGACTACACATCTTTACCCAAAAAAAAAAAAAAAATCACGCATTAATCGCAACACCAGGATAAAAATAAAACTAAATTCCATGATCACCACTTGGACTTAGGGTGCATTTGGTTCGGCTTTTGAGGAAAACTTTTGGGAAAATGCAAAAGCCTTTCGTTTAAAGGAGTTTTCCGAAATGTAAATAGTGTTTGGTAAAGTGTAATTTAAAAGCACATTGATAATCAAATTTGAGTTAATTGTTGTTTGGAAAAAATAAATGCCCTTTGTAAGCGGCGTCGCCAAGGTCGCGCTATCCCAGGCGACCTCGAGCAGGGCTAGCTAGCACTAGATTGGCTTACTGGCAGCCAGATTTGGCCTCGCCGGCCGCTTGAACCCTAGCCGGTTAGGTTGCGTGAGGTGGGGATATTTTCGGAATTATGAAAGTTTAGCAAAGGCAAAGTTGGAAGAAAAAAATGTATTTGCATTCCGGAGTGCACAAAGAACAAAGAACCTTCGGATCTGCATTGGGTAGATGCTTTTGGAAATGCAATTGCATCTTCCCAAAACTGCCTAAAATTTTTTTCAAACGTTACTTGCATTTGCCCATTTTGGGAAAGTGTTTCCAAGTGCACCCTTAGGACTTTTTTGTTGGGAAAACACTCCCAAATAGACTGTGATGATATCGTTGGTCTCTATGAGTTCAGTGAAGACTGAAACAAAGATCTCAACAGAAGGAGAATGAGTCTAATATGACAAGATGTTCACGGAAACTTGGAAATTAGGGTCGATTTTTTGTCTACATGATGTCTTTGGGTATTAATATACTCAAAAGGATGATTGGATAGACAATCACAAGTAATTTCTCACGGATCAATGGTGATATCGAGCACATGCCGATAATAAGCATTAAACCGTGTTGATATCAAGTCAAGTTAGAAAATAGCATTAGCTGTTTGAGATATAACATAAGTCCCACCGAGAACTCAAAAGATCTCTTCTGCTTATCTATCTATTTACACACTACTAGGGACCACTACTAGATACGTCTCTTTTGCAGGCACTGATCTAGAAGCCTGAAAAACTCAAACTCAAATTACATTGAATCCCACTCAGTGATCTTTCCTTCAACTCTATACATAAATTGCATGATCTAATTCCTTTAAGTATCCATTTTTATCTTTCCCTTGCCAGCGTGCTTACCGTACCTGCCCTAGGGGGAATTACCCTAGTGACGCTGATAACGTGTTTGTTTGAAGATGAACGTTGAACAAAGTAGGCATAACTGTTAATAGGCTGAGAAATCACAGCAGAAGAACCAAGAAAAGACCACAAAGCAGCCGACGGCTTTTTGGTGAAATAGTTAGAGGATTAGCGAAGTGAGAACTCCAACAGACTCCATTTTGGGAAAACCAGTTGCTGTCAGATGGAACGGTTGTATGGGCAATCCTAACGTCGGTAACTGCTCTGAACGACTCTCAAACGGCTCTGTGTCTAAACAGAGTCTCCAACGGAATAATCGAAGATGCCCATATCAGAAGGATCAAGGAAGCTAGAAGGGGGTCAAACGGAAAAAGAGTACACTAACAATATTCTTCATTTTTTTTTTTTGGTAAAGAACTAACAATATTCTTCATTATTCTCTTGTGTAACTAAAATTGTCACTGTAATTGTTTGGAGATTTCTAAGTAGAGTTCAAGCTCTTTTGTAATCGTGATAAGATTAAGTGTACAAGAGTGATAGTAGTAAATGTGTCCTGATAGTGTGATCTATCAATTGAATGGAGTAACACTTGCTAATTGTAACTTGTCTTAAAGATTACTAGTGGAATCCAACTCGTGTTGAGGTTCTCACATAGAGAATGGATGTTGACTTGGGGAAAAAGTTGAACCATTATAACTTTGCTATGTGCTTTATTTTTCATTATTATTATCGTCATATGTTCATTAGCATCACCTACACATAATGTACACAATCTATTTCTGATGCTGTTGAGATTCATTTCATTATATATTGCGAAAGTGTTTCAAAATCTTGATACAACCGATTCAGCTTCAACCCAACAATTAGTATCAGTGCTCTATTGCTTGTTATCTGGAGTGTTTTACTTCTAAGCATAAATATTCTTATTTATGGCTAACCTTAGTGGTTTCTTTGTTCCCGACTCTCAAGCTTCTAGCAAGCCAGTTTACTTTGATGGCACCAACTATGGAGACTGGAAAAGTGGGTGTAAGGTTATATTGAAGCAACAGATCTCCTTTTGTGGGACCTCATTCAAAATGGACCTGCAGTGCCTACACTAATAAGAGCTCTCGCTCAACAAGATCGTGAGAATGTGCAACCTACGGCTACCATCGCTGCTGCAACTAGAATAGAAGAATCACAGAAAGACTTACACAAAATGCAAAAGCTAAACCTTTATTATATCGGGCCTTGTCTCTTTCTGAATTTAACATAATCTATTCATGTTCGACAGCTAAAGAAATTTGGGGTTGATTCTTAGTCACATTCGAATGAATGGATAGGGTGAGGGAGACAAACATTTATTATATTGGGCTTTTTAAACAATTGACGGTGGTTCCACCAAATCTCACATGATATAAGAAATTTGCCTTTCTAATTGCATATTTCCACGCTTTAGGCTTAGGGTGAAGACTAGCCTATGCATGAGAGGGAGTGTTAGAATATTTAAATAATAAATCACACATTCATTTAATAGCTTAACTTTTTAGAACAGTTAACAGTGGTCATACCAAATCTCACACTCGTTGTCAACATCGGAGACCTTCACATAAAACAAAAAGAATTCACAAACACTCTCACTCCACATTTCACATTGTTCTCAGGTGTACCGTACAACATTACATAGTATTGTCATGATTAAGTATAAAAATGTTGTAAAATGTTATAACATTGATGTACGATATTACAACGAAGTGCCGTAATCAAGTTTAAACAGTCCTACAAAAAGTTAGAATACAATGTACCTTAGAAATTCCTGTTTTCGTTTGGTTTAAGCCCCTTTGTACTTGACTTACATCAACAGGGTGAGCTTGAAAGGTGTCAGCTCAAACCCTACTAGGCTGATCCAAACTGATAAAAGAGCTACTTGCTTTGATTCACCCAACCTCAAGAAATTTTTGCTTCAGATCCGCCCGGGCAGGCCCAGCCCTATCCCGAGGGGCTCGAAAGCATTGTCTATATGCCCAATCTGAACAAAGTCCCCAAGTCAATTTGGAGACGGGTTCATCCAATAAATGCTCGTTCAATTCTTCAATGTTCTGACTTTTCTCGGGTCTTGAACGAGGCCACTCATCAACGCTGGTATGAATTGCTCCACCTTTTGGCAGGCGTGGAGCAATGACGTGCACAAGAGTTTGGAGCACAACCCTTTGTATGACTCTGATCGGGAGTTGCATAGAGACCCCTCTTTGCAACTCAAAAGTTTTAAATTGTTAGTTGAAGGGATAATTTAATATTTTAATACTCTAATAGTACCCCTCACACGTAAGCTAGACATTGGTCTAAGCCAACTGTTTTAAATGCTTAAGCAAAGTGGTTGGAAAGAGGTCACATATATACAAAAAGCATATAAACCTTGTTGTGAAGTAGGAATGTCTTACGGTGAATCTGTATATCTATGGCCTATCATTCATACTTTGCGGCCTTCAAACCAGTAAAGAAGAAAGAGAGGCATATCATGTATGAGTCAATATGGCCTTTGTATAACATCTTTTTGTTGAAACTCATGATCATCCGATGAACTGGGCAAGCTCGGCTTGGGCCAAGCCTTCAGAGAAAACAATTATAGACTTCTGTCAAATATGGCCTACCTATAAAGCATTTTCCAAGCTTTCTTATGACTAACTAAATGATCTTTGACAATAGCTTTGATCTTTTTCAAAAAGAAAAGGTCGGGATTCACTAAAAAAAACATGTTTTTTGCGACGGAAATTTGCAACGGATTATTTTCGTCGCAAATTTGAGACAAATTTGCGACGAAAATAATCCGTCGCAAATTTGCGACGGAAAATAAATCTGTCGCAAATTGCGACGGAAATTTTTTTCCGTCGCAAAATTCGTCGCAAATTTGCGACGAAAAGTTGGTCGTCGCCAGTTCCGTCGCTAATTTGCAACGACTAATTTTCCGTCGTAAATTTGCGACGGATTGATTTTCCGTCGCAACGAATATTTTATCCGTCGCAAATTGCGACGAAATTGGATTCGTCTCAAATTTGTACCGAAAAATTAATTTTGTGATATGCACCCCACCCCACCCGTCAATTTCTCTCTCTCTCTTTCAGTAGTGATTCGTCAGGTCGCCCGCTTTTCTCTCACCTTCTCCTT